CACTTGGATATATTTTCGCTTACCCCAACTTCAGTAAGTTTATTCATTAGGGTATGGTGATCTACTTTGTCAAACGCTTTACTGAAGTCGGTGTATATCGCATCAATCTGTGTTCCAATGATGCAGTCTATATTTCAGAGGTACCTCACAACGAAGAATCAACTTTGGAGGAATGCTACCCAATAAGATGTAGCCACCAAATACCAACCAGTGTGCAGTCACTCCGAGAAGTTTCGTTGATGAACAGAGAGGCTAAGAATAAGATATCATTGTGTCATTCATAAAATCGTTCTCTTGAAATCTGGTTTGTGTCTGAGTTATGATGAGAGGGTTATATTGTGGAATGAAGAGGTACTAGAACTTTCAGATCCATTGGACCCCTCAAACCCCTACCCCTCCCCTATCTCAATAGTATGTAACCAATGTCGTTAATTGGTCATTACAGTCCCATCATTTATGTATATACTGGGCTTGCTATGGGAAACTCAATTAATGTGTCGATTATGTTGTACTGGCCTTTTGCCGGGAACTGAATATGATTGCTGGGTACCCAGCACTGGAACCAACTGCCAGCCGCAGTGTACTGATATATAGAGTCCCGCACATGGGACCATTTTCTGGGCCGCTGATGTCAGGTATGGGAAAAATATATTAGGCCATTATCTAAATGTTTGCTGGGGGCGCATGGAGTTAGTAACAGAGCCTACACAGAACACGCAGAAAGATATGATGATGTGGTTGTGAGCATCAGGGAAGAAGTAGGACGAAGTATGTAGGTGGGTATGGAAAATTACCTGCTGCTTAGTGGGCCTCCGCTAACGGGGGTTAACGAGGTAGGTGGCTGGCCTGCCATTGCAGCATATGGCAGTGAGTACATTATACTAGCCTACAAAACACATCAGCCAAAAAACTCTGAAAGAGAGCTGATGGAAGGTACCTGAAGAGAGTGTTAGCCAGCTCTCTTAAGCGAACCACATCACTCATTAAAAACACCTCTTGGCTTGCAAGAAGGTCCCATTAGGGACTAGTTGCTGACGTGCAAACGTCTCCCACCAGTACCAGTACCAGTAGGAACGTCAGTCGATGCAAAATTTGATGCTCCTCAACTTTTAAAACCGTAAGTACGATGCGTCGTTTGCAAGATATGGGCAGAAAACCGAAAAAACTCAGAAAATGTCTGGGTTTTTTTCATTTTTCTACCTGAGCCGGTACTGCTACGAGGCAAAAAACTTCAGATTCGATTCCGGTCCACTAAAACATATGATTCCGATGTCAATAATCCAGAAAAACTAGTGGCGCCCGCGAGAGTCTCGTTTTCGAGAATTTCGCATGGTCTCGTCTCGTTTTCGAGACAAGACTCGAGACGAGACTCCAACAAGACGAGACGAGACTTTTATTGGTCTCGTCTCGAGTCTCGTGCAAGACTTCTCGTGTCTCGTGCGAGAGTCTCGCATGTAAATATTTCTGCGTGCCGACTGCAGACTTGAGAATCTCATTCATAATAAAACATATTCAGAAAAATCTGCACGATGTTTGTTATGTCTTAACGACAGGGTGAAAATCAAAATCATTTGCGATCGTGAAGGCTGATCTGACTGATAATGGTTTTTTTCTCCAAGCGGCAGAGATAGTAGCATTTTCCTACCGCTTTGTAGGCATAAAAGGTGTACTTTTACTGCCTAGGCAGAAAAAGTTTGTTGCTATGCAACGTTCCAAGAAATTCTAATGAAATTAGTAATCAAAATTGACACTGACATTGGGTGAACACAAAATGATGGAGTTTTCAATAACAAAATAACACAAAAGTGGTTTTTTATCAGTTGGAGAAAAAATTCAATGTTTCACACGGCAGCAAATTCAGATTTACTACTTTTCTACCTAGTAAAACAAATAACTATTTTCTTGGATACCTATTTCTCAAATGAGTAAAATAATATTGGATTAAAGTTTTCGTTTTGTTTATTTGTTTAGAATATACGTGTTACTTTTCATTTTATTTTTATAACTTTCGAATATATAAGGCTATGTTTTTTTTTCTTGTTCAGATGTATGATGTAAGTATGTACCTATTAGGTACTTACTCTTCAATAAATAATGTTATTTTTGTTGTAATATTCTCTTCCAACTTCTACATTATTCCTAAAAAGTAGGTGAAGGTAAATATTCCGTACTAGACTGGAACAAGATTATGCATGACGAAATTGCGATACCTTGCGAGACTCTCGTACGAGACGCGAGACAAGACGAGACTCGGGGCTGCGAGACGAGACTCGAGACAAGACTTCATATTTCATCGGCGAGACGAGACGAGACTTTAGGAAACCGAACCTCAAGCCTCCTTCTTGTTAAACCCAAAGCAATTGGATATTCTGCCTACTGATCTCTATTATTATTCATTATTATTATTATCTTTTGATTGTCGTTAGTCAATCATCTCAATATGATTCAAATGTGTTCCTCAATAACGTCCCGAAGGCGGGATATGAATATTTTTCCTGGCAATTTTTGATACCAATAGGTTGATTTCCAGTGAAACCAGCAGTGATATTAATTCATCTCAAAAGAAAAATATGGGTTTGGTGGGCCTATATCTTCGATCCAAATGTCAACAGTCTAAAATGGAAAACAACTGAATGACCTGTTGTTATCTGGTAGATATATTTATTCGATAAGAAGATATTGGTACTATTGTTAATTATTTGTGTTTTTTCATTCATTTGGGCTATTAAACATCTTGACTGAGAAATACAGAGTGATAAAAAGTCATATTTTCTGTAGGACCAATATTGTTTACCTTACTCCCGGTTTCTCGTATGTAGTGTCAATTTTCAGTGATTTCAATATTGGTTAGTAGATATATCATCAAGAATTCCAAAGTCTTGAAGAAGCTAATGACTTTCATTTCCACATTGGGTGTGATGTGACAGGTATATTCATTTGTTTTACGAGACAGGAAAGTGGATTGACTGTCGTTTAGCCGTTTATCCAAGGCAGTCAATTTACATTTTCTGCCATGTGAAATATAAAATTTTTCCTTCAAATGTTATAAAACTGATTTTGTATAATTTTTTTATCGAAAAGTCCATCATTTTGTGTTTCACCCAATGTCAGTGTGAATTTTGATCACACCAATTTCATGCGAATTTATTGAAACGTGCATAGCAATACACTTTTCCTGCCTAGGCAGAGAAAGCACAACTTTCCTGCCTGTTAGGTGTCAGAGAAAAAATACTCTCTGCAGCGTGGAGAAAAGATAATGTCAAAATGTCATATAGCCAGGAATGTGGTTGTTTTCTGTTGACTATTCCACTATTGATCACGACAACCAATCAGAATAGACCATTTTCACGGTTTCTTCTGTATTCTAGCGATATTTTTTGTTTACTAAATTTTATCGGACTTGCTTTACCAATACAGAAGCCGATTTGACCCACACGTGACCAACAAACCTCGTTTATCAGCGATAAAATTTTGACATCGTGTCTGGTCAAGATTGCTTTGGATTCAAATCTGAGACTTTAACCTGAGTTCCTACTTTAATTTATTTACTCATAATTAGCGTTAGTTAGACATTTTGTACGAAAGGCGAGACAATTTTATTCTGGCTGGACGTTAAATGTGTAATTTAAAAAGTTTGCATATTTGTTGACGGTCTCTGACACAACAATACTAGAATTCAAATTCCTTTTTGAAGTAATCTTCTTCAATTAGTCAAGTTATTGTGACTGATAAACTACCAGATGATGTGGCGCAACTGATAGGGTTGTTGCGCGTGGATACGAAGGTCGGTGGTTGGAGTCCATCGGCAACGATATCTTTTTTTAATTATTTCATGTCACATGAATTCATTTTTTTTTTAATTGGATAGCAATTGTATACACTCTTTTGAGAGCAACCATCTCCAAGATAATAAAAAAATACTGTTTGTTAAAATTGTACATTCCACTTTGTGAATAACTATAATTAGGTTTTTAATTTCTAAAAAATTGAATTCTGTATTTCATCACTATCATTATGTTCTTCTTCGCAGTTTCAGTTGGAATATACCTAAATTGTGTTTCCTATTTCCTATATACATATATATTGTCTCATTCAATCATGAAATAGTCATACGAATACAACTCGTGATACTATTTTTCCTGGAAATATTCGTCGATTGACATACTCCAGCTTGCTGCTCTAATTTCGCTCATGACATTGATCCAAAACTACTCGCCTACGGCTCGTAGTATTGATAACAATGTCATTCACGAAATTACTGAGCAACAAGCTGTCGTAACAATCACCGAATATTTCCGGCAAAATATTATTTAATAATAATAATAATATATTATATATATATTATTATAATATTATTATATATATATATATATCGAAGTGTAATGTTCATATAATTTTAGCTTATGCTCTTTGTATGTCCTGTTCTGCCTGACTTGTCCTATACATCTTATAGATGTCTAAATGGATCAATAAGGATTATTATTATTATTATTATTATTATTATCACTTGTGGTATTATATATGAATATACCGAGAAAGAGTTGATACTTTTATCAGATAGAGAATACGAATTCACAATGTATTCCTTTTTATGTATAGTATCAACTTTTTTTTATGTTCATATTATGTATCTGAGAATATTCCTTATCAAAATAGAAACGGTTCGAATGGAAATCACCCTGTAATGAATGGTGAAAGACAAATCCTTTTCCGATATAACATCACATATATTTTGAGGAAAACATGATAAAAGAATTTGGACGGAATCGGATCACTTCAAAATCGATTTTAATTAACGGGTGTACCCTGATGTGGAATATCTTTTTTGTTTTGTTTTTTGAACTTATGGTTCTCAAGACGATTGATTTAGCCTCTGACGTCCGGGAACCGAATTGAAATCGATTAACTTCATGGAAAATCTTACAAATCAGAGCTGAAGATCTAGGTGTCTTAATTCAAATGGTGCAGTCATATTTAAGAAGAGAAAAAAGTTGACTTACCTAGTGAAACGGTTAGTTCTTGACAGCAACTTTATTAGCCTATTATACATGTTGAACGTGTTACAGAAACTGAGTATTACTCAGTTCATCTCTTATTTTGCATCTTCTTTGATATCTTATCTCAATGGTTATATTTATTCAGTATTATAATGAATTAGTGATTAGTTATTGAAACTACATAAAATGTTATCAAGAATAGGTACATATTGTTTTTTGATTATTCTTCTGACACTGAACAAATATTAACTGTTTTCTCTGTTTCCAATTGGGCACAAATGCAGTTGAGCGAGCAAGTCTGAGTTTATTTTTCTGACTGAAAGTGAATTAGTTATTTTTCTGCCCTGCATACAGACAGTGTAGTAGAACTTTCACTGTCTAGGAGTCTAGACCTATTTATACTGCGTCCTATACGATGACACACAAAAAAACATCGTTGTTGTCACTGTAACTATGAAAAAATTGGTAGATATGGTTTTGATAAATGCAGATGATAATTACCATAGCAGTGAAATATCGGCTGACAGCTATTTGACATGAAATTCGTTGGAATTTCGATTTTTTTAAGTTTGGTTGCGATTATCGCAATAAACTATCGAAAGCAGCAGCGATAGTGAGTATGAAAATGTCCATACGAAATTTCTTATGTAACAGCTAGTAGGTATTCCGTTCAAATTTCAGTATTCGATACAAATGAGAATCAATAAAAAAGTAATTATATTGTACAAAGATATAGAGGGTGTTTCATAATTGAATGCTGATCCTCAAGGGCGATAATCCTTGGATGATTTCGAAGAGAAAAATTCATATCAACATATGTCCTAAACCTCTTAGTTATTGAACTACAGGGTGATGAAATTTCAAGAAAAAAATGAGTTTTTCATCATAATTTTTTATCACTCATAGATATTGTTATAATATTTTGTATACACCTTTTCATTATTAAGGAGCATTTTTTACGTGAAAGATAATTGAAAATTCGCACGAGTGGCGTCCGTACGGGGTTTGAACTGACAATTTTTGAAGAAAAAAATAGTACGCCACTGATTTTTCTGAGAACCAGATTTTTTTTTCAATTCTTATTCATTTTGGAGCAAATTTGGTCCCTAGACTTACTTTCATACAATGTACCGTTTTCACGTAAAAAAATAAAAACCAAAGAATTTTGTTCCCTCAGTTCTTGGATATTGTTTTTGGTAATTCAGTAGACACCCACTATAAGTGGAAACACATTTTGTTTTGGGACGAAAATCAAACTTGTACTTTTACCAGTGATGTCCTCGTAGACCTGATATTGAATGTTTTGTTAAAAAAAAAGCTGTACGCTTCTGATTTCAACACCCTGTAGCTCAAAAACTAAGAGGTTCAGGACATATGTTGATATGAACTTTTATTCTTGAAATCATCCAAGGATCATTGCTCTTTAGGATCAGCATTCAATTATGAAACACCCTGTATGATATACAGGGTGTCCCTAGACCAGTGGGACAGTTGAATATCTCCTGAACCAATAGGAATTTTCAAAATATTATGATTCCAATTCATATCGCATTATGAGTGCTAACTTCAGGAATGACTATATTTCATACGAGGGGCGCAAGAAAGGCTCAGAAAATCGAACATCAATTTTTTCAAATGGAACACCCTGTATTTCATTGCATTTTCATATTCTCCTTGATGAGCTGAGTTCAACGACCTAGCACACTTGGGGTCTAGCGGGAATGATTTCCGAGATATAGGGTGTGGAAAATCGAGATTTTTCATTTTTGGGGAATTTTTTGTGTCAAAACTATTCATTATTGGTCAAAACGGATTACATGTTCAGATCTTAACTATTGATTTACTATTTACTAGTTTTAATTGAAACAAATACAGGGTGGTGTAGAATCGTCAGTTTCAGTCAGAATTCTACACCACCCTGTATTTGTTTCAATTAAATACTAGTGAATAGTAAATCAATAGTTAAGATCTGGACATGTAATCCGTTTTGACCAATAATGAATAGTTTTGACACAAAAAATTCCCCAAAAATGAAAAATCTTGATTTTCCACACCCTATATCTCGGAAATCATTTCCGCTAGACCCCAAGTGTGCTAGGTCGTTGAATTCAGCTCATCAAGAAGAATATGAAAATGCAATGAAATACAGGGTGTTCCATTTGAAAAAATCGATGTTCGATTTTGTGAGCCTTTCTTGCGCCCCTCGTATAAAATATAGTCATTCCTGAAGTTAGCACTCATAATGCGATATGATGTGGAATCATAATATTTTGAAAATTCCTATTGGTTCAGGAGATATTCAACTGTCCCACTGGTCTAGGGACACCCTGTATAGTGTACGCAACACGTCCAAACAGTTTTTTGGACTCGCAGACTTCCAGGACTCGCCTACGGCTCGGCGGCCTAGGATTTTTTGTACTCGTCCAAAAAATAGTAGATTGTTTTATTAGGATCAAAAGTGACACTTTGTTTGCCAAGCGAATTCTGCAAAATTTGCGAGTCGAACAAAGTCACATTTGATCCGAAAGGAACATGCTATTTTTTCTGCAACCGGAACAATTAACTCAAATGAATATGTGAAGTAACCACCAATACTGTACCATATGTATGCATTGCAACAAATATTGACAAAAAATCCGTGTGGTGGGAATATTCTACCTGCATTAACAGCAGGTTTATTCAATTTTCAAGGATGTTCGAATTGTAGTTCCAATATGAATACAACCACAGAGTGACATATTTGTGTATGGACCAGGTGCTCTACCGCGCCAGTGCCAGCTATATGAACAAGACGTGGAAAATGTTAGGTTAGTGAGCATATCAACAATAACAACAATAGCAATTATTTATTCCTCTCCATAATAATACACTGTGTTTCACTTGATAATCAATTGAAGGTGAACAATATCGTTGTTTGAGACAACAAAACTATTGCTTGCCGTGATTATTCAAAAACAAATTATCCATCCCAAGAATAACGAATGAAATACAGATCAAGCAAGTATTTGAATCTTGAAGGCTTTCCTGATCAGAAGAGAAATACTAAACTGAGATGTTTATAATTCCAATACTCAACTATACAGGGTGAGTCATTAGTGTGGCAATGTGAGATAACGACTTTACTGTTTGGGATAGATGAACATCAAAAATTGCAGAGATGATCTAGGATCATGAGCAGCACATCTCCAAATTATTTCGCTTCATACAGGGTGACTCAGAAATGCGTGGCGTATCAAAGTTATACTTTTTCTTATGGGACACCCTGTATTTCATTGCATTTTCGCATCCTCCTTTGTGAGCTGACTTCATCAATAGATCACACTTGTGTTCTAGCGAGAATAATTACAGAGAAAGGGTGTTGAAAATCGAGATTTTTCAACTTTAGGATTTTTTTGCGTCGAAGATATTCATTATTGATCTAAGCGGCTCTCATGTCCCCATCCCAATTTTGATTTACTATCAACTGGCATTTAATTGGAATAGATACAAGGGTGATCAGAATGCTGAATCTTGAACCACCCTATATTTTTTGGCATGTCTCTGATGGGATATGATCTTAAACGTTCCTTTAGGGACATCTATCGGATGTCCCGAGTAGTAAATATTCTGGCATGACTTCAGGTCTTACATAATGTCCCTTCTAAACAACCATGAAATGTTCCTGATGACATTCCTTCAAATACAGGCTGATTTTAAAATAAGTGCATATATTTTAAACACTAAGAAAGCTTGCGGTATACTACCGAATAGCACTATTAAAAATATTATTAGGATCAAAATAGATTTGGGGCAAAATATCCTTTTTCCGCCCAGATTTCTACTTCTGTCACAACTATCGTTTGCGATCCGCAGTCGACCGTGATGAACGAAGCGACGTTGCCACTCGACATGAAAATTAGGAGATATTAAATAAAATGTATAATCGAGAAAATGTACATGGGGAAGAAGTTGACCCTGGTCTTGGATTTCAGAATGATAATACAAAAACTTCAAAATGGACTCACCCAAGATTTCTACACATAAGCTCGAATAGCGTATAACTCACGGTTGGAAGTTATTTTACTGAAAAATCCTTTAGACCCTTCCTTCCACCTCCTTGCATCGCTACAATTTCGTGGTCTTCGAGGAGTCTCATGGGCCCCGCACAATAACGACCCGACATAAGAACCATATCATTCAGCTCAATGTTTGAGAAATGCATAGTCACATTCCAAGCAAATTGTCAGAAACAAAACTTTACATTCAGTGTTGTTCCTGGGTCTGATTTTTTCGTAATAGATTTTCTTGGAAAATGGTAACAGATTTGTATCAAAAGGTAATAGATCCTAAAAATCTGACATTTGACATTCTGAATGTCATTCTTGTAAAACCATATCGCACAAATTAGACAGTTTTGGCAGGAATGAGGCAGGTCACACAGAACTTATGTTTCTCTCCGTCTCTCGTGATCCATGGAGATAATCACCTCACAGTTCTCTCAGTAAACTTTAAAAAATAAGGCTCCTGTACATATTACATTCACCTCTATTAGTTTCCATAACCTATTTCAATTCATGTTCATTCTGTGACAAATTTTTATCAGGATATTTCGTCTCTGAAACAATCTGGCATCACTGTCTTGTTTTGACTTTAGTGAATGACGAATTGTGGATTCCGTAGGATTCCGCAGATTTCACTTGCTTCCCAGTGGCGTACTCGAATTTCGAAGCATTTTATGTTCAATTTTCAAAATGAAATTTCTCGTTAATGTGAAGACTTAGGAAAAATCAAATATTTTAGTAATTTTTGTTAGACTCTCTCTTATATATGTCTTGAATATATGCACTCATTTTAAAATCTGCCTGTATATCTGCACAGACGGTCTTATTATTTTCAGGATTGTTTAAGAATCGATATGTCCCATAGGGACATCCTTTGAATGTCCCTTAGGGATATCCGTCCGATGTCCCGATTGGTACTTGAACTGTACTCTCCCAATGTCCTAGAAATAACGTTGTATGGACGTCCCAGTCGGTACTTTCAATATGTTGTCCCTGCGAGGACGTTAACTTACACCTCGACGACGAATGATTGCTCGTAGGCATGAATACTCCCTGTTAATGTCCTTCACGTTAGTCCATTGGACATCCTTGGGAAACTTTTTCAGGGTCTATTGGGGACCTTCTACGGACCATCAACTCAACTGGATGTCTTCATCACTTATACAAGATCTGGTCCTAGAGGGAATCAGAAGAATTCGAATTCAAGAATAATTTGTACGTATGTCCTAAGAATGTCCTCGGAAGTGCTTGATGAGGAATACTGTGGGATTTATATGTATTCGATAGTTGTCCCAGGGACATCTCTCGAGGACGTCCCTAGTTGGTCCTCAAGTGGGATAGTTGTGTGTTCCACAGACGTCCAATGGACGTCCACGGTACCAAATTCGATCGTCCCATGGACGTCCTGAATGTCCCGACAGGACGTCCTAAAAGGATATCCATGGACATAATATAATATATCAATCAGACCATCTCTACAGGGTGGGCCACTAGTAACGCCTCGGTCTCTAGAAGGCTAACCACTTATCTTCTTGGAATTCTTTCTCTCTAGGAAGTTGCATGTCAACATAGGCTACCATTTGGAATTATTTCAAAACATACAGGGTGTCCCCAAAAACCGCAAAATACTAAAGTTGAACTTTTTTCAATCGAACACCCTATATATTATTTCATTTTGAGATTCTCCCTGGTGAGCTGATTTCAACAATCCATCATACTTGGGGTCTAGCAGTTATAATTACTGAGATATAGGGTGTGAGAAATCGAGATTTTCCAAGTTCAAGAATTTTTTGTGTCTAAACCATTCATAATTGGTCAAAACGGCTCACATGTCCCTCTCTCAACTCTTGATCAACTATCTACTGACATTTAATTGAAACAAATACAGGGTGGTGCAGAATTCAGAATCTTGATCACCCGGTATATGTCCCATCAATTAAATATCAGAAGATAGTTAATCAAAAGTTGAGATAGGGACATGTAAGCCGTTTTGACCAATTATGAATAGTTTCGACACAAAGAATTCTTGAACTTGGAAAATCTTGATTTTTCACACCCTATATTTCAGTAATTATAACTGCTAGACCCCAAGTATGATGGGTCGTTGAAATCAGCTCATCAGGGAGAATCTCAAAATTAAATAATATATAGGGTGTTCGATAGAAAAAAGTTTAACTTCAGTGTTTTATGGTTTTTGGGGACACCCTGTATGTTTCGAATTAATTTTAAATGGTAGCCTATGTTGACATGCAACTTCCTAGAGAGGAAGAATTCCAAGAAGATAAGTGGTTAGCCTTCTAGAGACCGAGGCGTTACTGGTGGCCCACCCTGTATATCAATGCGTGGTATTACGGTCTACGACAGTTTGTCTTGGCATGACCATGTAGCCAATGGAGCTAGAGGAAGATCTCAGAGCCGAGAAGTAATTTACAACAGCTTTTGATACTCTATGAAGCTATCATTCATCCAATGAAGACTGTTCGCATGTCTGAGGAGCAGATATAAAGCACTTCCTGTAGTTTGGTAGATCAAATTTTCGCGACACTGATGACACAATTTCAATAAAATATCAACATTGTATTGAAAATCGTTAAAAGTATTGTATCGTCTCCCATTTGATACACCAACCAATCAATTGTTTGAAATAACAAACACGTATTCTTTAGATGAAATATATAGAATTGAAATTCTTAAAATATCATATAATATCATAAATAAAAAATTGAAGTCGAATTTTATGTTGATACGGAATTCTGAAATTCATAATCATGAAACAAGACAATATAACTTGTTTCATCTTGACGCCCTAGCTCCATTATCGGACAAAAAAGATTCACTCAGAGTTCAGAAATCAAAAACAACATGGAGAAATATAACTATCAATAGGCAATAACTTCTAGTAGTGCTCAACAAGAAGCTGAAATACATTTCTTTGAAAAGGAAATTGAAATTTTTCAGAATAAGTTATAAATAATAGAATGTAAGTTTTTCATTTGGTTTTTCATTTGAACCTAATATGAATAGAGAAAAATTTCGCAAATATCATGAGATCCATATTATTTTGAAGAAATTATCATTTGCATAATACAAGGTGAGTCAATAGTGTGTTATCCTTGTATATTAGCCAAACCATCAGATAAATAGAGAAAATTCAAGTACAACAGTAATAGGGTTTCATGAGAACTTTCACATTGCATTGTTTTCTTATATATCTGTAGGGTCTCGAATTCCAAGATATATTGACTGATGGTTGTTTTTTTCCAAATGGGACACCCTGTATACTATTGCATTTTCAGGTTCTTCCTGAAGAGCTGATTCCATCAATGCATCACACTTGGGGTCTAGCGGGAATGATTACAGAGATATAGGGTGTTCAAAAACAAGATTTTTCAATTTTATGATTTTTTTTGTGGAAATTGAATAGAATTGGTCAAAACGGCTCACATATCCTTATAAACTTTCGATTTACTATCTACTGACATTCAATCGGAACAAATAGAGGGTGGGTTAACATTCAGAATACTGATCAGCTTATTGTATCTGTTCCAAATAAATATCAGTAGATAGCTAATCAAAAGTTATGACAGAAACATGTGAGCCGTTTTGACCATCAATGAATATTTTCGACACAAAAAATCCTACATTTGAAAAATCTCAATTGTCAACACCCTATATCTCTGTAATAATTCCCACTAGACACCAAGTGTGATGCATTGATGGAATCAACTCTTCAGGGAAAACTCAAAAATGCAATAATATACAAGGTGTTTCATTGAAAAAAACCAATCATCAACCGATATCTTGGAATTCGAACACCCTATAGATATGAAAACAACTTTAGGTGATTGTTCTTATGAAACCCTATTACTGTTGTACTTGAATTTTCATTTTATATATCTGACGGTTTGGCTAATATCGGAGGAGAACAAACTATAGTGACTCATTCTGTATACGAATAATATTCTCCCATAAATCTTGAACCTCCTTGAAACATCATCAAAAACCGCCTCAAGTTGTTACCATGATGTCCTGAGGTTGTCTCAAAAGATTTTATAGGGATGTTCTGAGACGTTATTAGTATGTAGAGAATGGTAACAGGAGGACGTCTTGAGAATGTCCTCAGGCTCGCTCTCGACGTCCTGAGGACATGATTGTGAACGCCTCAGAAGGGCCTCAAAAGGAATTTGTGCTATCTGGGCTCATTCAGCCCTGAATGCAATGAACTACCTGACAATATAAAAAATTGCAGGAATATAGGTTCATTCAAAAATGAAGTGGAAAAATTGATTATTTCTGAGCGAACTGGATAAAATTGAACATGCCATTTTTTATACAAATATTATTCTTTGTTTGTCAATTTACAGTTGTTGATATATTTTGTATAATGATATGTTTACCTATAGGTATATAATTATGTACTTCCTTATACCAGAGCCTATTCTGTCTGGAAGTTATTTGTTCAATAAATAAATGAATAAATAAATAGGCGGACATATTTGAAATAAGATTTGAGATTGAATAAAATTCGTAATAATCCTTTTTGTATATTTGGAATGTATCGATTGTTACAATTATCAATAATGATAGTTAATTTCATATCCCCGAGGAGAGAGTGGAATGACAGTTCATCCAAGTTGGTAGGTATAAATGTTGTTCAGTCTGATTTTGGTATCAGATTGTGTAGTTTTGGCTGCAAAAAATCTTCACATATGGCTGCAACCAGTTCTTGTAATGTAGCTTGAATTGCTGATTCATCTCTGAAATAAATCATATAATATTTAACTATATAACTATACATTGGATTATTTTATTGAAAACTAGCAGTCTCAAGTTGAAATGAGTTTGGCTAGCTGAATTATGGTTCTATGAAACGAATATAAACAATATGTGTTGAGAAATAGATACAATGAAATTATCGACTTGGAAAACACTACAAACTGGTGACAGTGGTGACACTGATCTAATCATCAGTAATATTATCAAGAAGTACAAATGCCTATAAAATAACATCACTCAAACTCGCGTTCATCAAGATCTTTAATTATAAATCAACTTTTCCAAATTAAAACATCCAGTACAGTGTAGTTTCGATCAGGTCAGCAGAAATGAAAAGATGTGTGTCACTAGATTATTTTGAATAATCGTGTGTGTTATTTGTGAAAGAAAATTATTGATTGATCAATTGAGGAAGGAGAAATCTGTAAATTACCCTTATCTTGAAATATGTGACGTAATTCATGTGTCTTTGTCTGAGTTCTATATTTCTATGTCTTCATTCATTGACTTATTGTATTTTATGGTAGATTTTCATATATAGACGTCAGTTCCTGTAGAATTTGCAAAAACCGCTTACCGTGCGATAAAACCTAGGTGAGCAATATCGAAAGGTAACGGCCATTTCCATTGCGGGAAATTGTAAACCCAGCATGGATTCCGAATATAAATAACACCCGAGTCGATAAGGCATTATTGTCATTAATACAAGTAATTATAGTAATTATCAATTGAAAAATGTCTCCCCAACTTCAATTTGCGTCAACCCATTGCTAGACGTTGTAATGTAAGTTCTGTTTTTTCCAAAAGTGTTGTTTTGCGTTGTGTTTCATTTGGAAAGTCATTATATTCTTTTTCTTAGCTAATCTGCCATGTGGCAAGCATTTATCCGTACGATTTTTCCATTTAATCAATAAATGTCAAATTTTATATGAAAATTGTCTTGATTCTTCATTTGGGGATGAATGTGGTTGGGTGGTGAAATGATCGAAACCTCTCGTCAAACAGCCAAGCGAGTAGCTAAGTTACGACCTATAGGAGGGTCAACATCTAAGTTGCGACAAAATTTATAAAACACCAACGAAAACAATAACTTGCATATAAAAAAAAAGAGTTAATCAATTAATCAATATGTAATGTTGACTCAGTTTTTATCACATTTCATGTCTGAATACTTTGAAGATATTCTTCTAAAGCTAGCTATAGATCTGTTCTGATTTCTAAGATAGTATTCTGGGTTATTCAAAAATTTTATTGATACATAGGCAGAACAGTATTCAAATTTGATGGTTTTGTGCTGTGGAGTGTTCTGTATCTCATAATATTCCTAATATGCTGGTTATGTAGTTCATGACGGCTAAATATACTGGTTTATTGTCATCTATGATTTTTTTTTCAAATACTCCAAATAGTAGTTGATAATGATATTCAATTTTCAGGTTGTTGTTGCTATTATATAAAGGGGTTATATGGTCATATTTGTAAATATTATGTACCTACATATCGAATACAAGCATTTTTTGGATGTTGTAATTTGTTTTTATATATTATTCTGTCAAAAACTCATGATATATTGTGATATAGTAATCTACTTGTGGATATAATAGACTTTCGATTAATTTAATCAGCTTCATATACATTAGTGATATTTTCTTGTTCACATGAGGTTCAAAATTGAGATTGGAATCAAATATCAGTCCTAGATTTCTAGCAGTTTCCTTGTAGGGTACCTATTTCATTGTTTTTGATATGTAAAGTAGGTAGTGAAGTTGTTTTGGAAGAATTCATGCCTGATTGCACTTGATCCAATAATTTAAGAAACAGTTTCTTGTTGGGTTCAGTCTCATCAATGATCATTTGACCAGTCAACTATTCTGTCTAGATCTTTATTTATTTATTGTTCTTTCTCAAATATTTGTCAATAATGAGTTTTCCTATCCACAACTATGTTTTGTGTAAAATATAATAAAAACTCTCCAAGTCGTCTCCACAACGTTCAATTCCAAATTCAAGAAGGAGGGGACATATTTCGGACCCAAAAGGTATCCATCATCAGCCAGAAAGAAATTATTCTACAAAGAACAACGGAACATTAAGTAGGTATATCAAGTAAAAGTAAAACAAATTGGTACTCACGTGGAGAAGAAAAAGGCAAAGACATGGCTATAATTAGCATGGTAAAATAGTTACAAGAACATGTTTATAGTTTTGAATAAAAATCAAAATGAAGTAAACAGGTATCATTCTTTAAATTGGGGCCCTGTACCACAGATATTTGCTCAACGACCACGTACATTCGGTAGCAGCATGCAATCACAGAATGATTGAAAAAATCCGACAGAAACATGCTGCTATAATATCGATAAAATCGATCGATTTTTCCTATGAACATGGACTTCTACAGTAGGTATATTTTATGTTTTTTGTGAGGATTATGATGTGTCTGAATTATGTCCCTTTAGTAACAACGGTTTACTCAATAAATGTTGTGGGGACGATATACAGGGTGGTCCGTTTCTTAATACGGAAAATTTAACAGCGTATAGTACTCGTTGAAATAATAAATAAACTTCCTATGAACATATACTTTTAAACGCTTCGTTTTCAAGATATAGGGTATTCAAGATTCTGCAAAAAATCGATTATTTATTGATTACTCAGAAATGCTATAAGCGATTGTGATGAAATTCACATATATTGTGGAAATATCAATGAGCTAACTTTCAGACCTATTACAGTTCATTAAATTACTAATTTCATGACATGATATTAGTTTATAAATTACCTGCAACTGTTGAGCTGCTTTTATAGAACTGATTTGTTGTTTAACATAAAAAAATCTAAGAATGTGATTGTTATCATTTCTTCTCAGTGGGCCATTATTTCGGTTTTGTTCATTATTGCCACGTAACCCAAACTGACGGAAACGTGAGCGAGTATCGATAAAGACCCGTGCATTAGGTACCCTTCTCCTAGAAAAGCGATTTCTGTATTCCCGAACTGCTGCATCTGCGTTTCCATTACAAAATCCGTAAACGAAATGAATATCTGCATACTCTTCAGTACTAAATCCCATAGGCATATTGACAAACGACAAAATTGGAATAAAATTATAAATAAAACCACGGAATAACTCCAGTTTATTATTTCTTTGGCAGAACTTTCAGAGTGACAGCACATATAAACAGTGAACAGTGAGCAACCGAGCATGGCCTACCTCTTTAATTGATATCAAGTAGTATTATTTAACTAAAAAATGTTATAAAATCTTACAAACGAGCTTTTTTCATTGAAACTTGAAAAATAAATGGAAAATAATTACCCGAAAAATTTCTGTAATTATTACCTTCGCCACCCCAGATTCAGCCGCCACTGTAGTTTTTATGAATAATTTTCATTTAATCTAATAAAGCTCAAAAAATTTGGTATCAGTGAGAAATTTCGTTAATTTATCTACCGTTTCTAACTTTTGAATAAGAAAATATATTCAGAAGCGTATTTTTGACACCCAATATTTCAAAAACGAAGCGTTTAAAAGTATATATGTTCATAGGAAGTTTTTTATTGGGTATTTCACCGAGTACTATACGCTGTTAAATTTTCCGTATTGAAAAACGGACCACCCTGTATTGTTAAATTTTTACTTCTACCTAAGATTAGGAAAACGAGTCGCAAAAAGTTATACTTTACCTCCATAATATGAAACAGTATAAATAATATACCTGATATCTGGACTAGCACAGAGCTCCGTGTAGTACTTTATTTTCGGTTCAGTGCCACTAGTTCTCAACGTACAAATCAATCCGTTTGAAAAGTTGAAAGTAATCATTTGACTGTCAGATGAAACTGGTAGAATGGCTTTGTTGTCCGGTTGGCTACTATCAAATCCAGTTGTGAGATCTCTGACGGAAGTTATCGGATATTTATTGTTGAGGATTTCTTGAGGGTACTAGAAATATATCAGTAAAGAAGATATGTAGGAAAAACCATCATTTATCCAAGCCACTATACAGTCGTGTCATTCACTATACAGTGTCAGTGGAAACTTCGAACGCGAATATCTTCGTAATCGTTTGAAATAACCCAATTAAACCCGGTATCGTTGAATTCGCTATGATGATGTCTAACCGATTATGGAATAAAATATAGGGTGTTTCATTCGAAAATCGAAAGTTGACGTCATTTCCAGGACAACCGGAAGACGAAAAAAATTCCTAGAACGTGAAAGAGTGACCTCTAGTGAGAGTATTCGATGTTACTAGTTTAATTTCTTGCAAATCTTTTTGACATTTGACCTTTATTTGACATCTCGTTTTTGTATTTTGAGTTTTGTGATTTGTATTTAGATTTGATAATTGAATGGCCGTCAGCTGGTGTGATTGTTTACCTCACAAAAATATGAAAAATTCCAAATGAATCATACTTCTTGTTGATTATAGAAAATGAAATGTGTTATATATATATAAAGTGTCCAATCATGGGATAAGAAAGACGAATAGTTGTAAATGGATATCCAAGATGGGTGGCAGAATATGGTGAAATTTCGCATTTTTTCGTAAAATACCTCAATAGATAGCGGTTTGTTCAAATTTTCATTGTAGAATTCGTGTTATTCAGACAAAAATACTTAAGTACTAATGAACATTTTCGAAGAAAAAACCATCGCATGAGTGCACTTCTACCCGAAATTTTCACTGTGATTGAGGCTTCGAGAGATTATATTTGATTTCATTTCTTTTTTTTTGTTTCCCTCTATAAACATTGTATGTTTCTTGGGATCAATAAATATTAATATTATTATTAAATGGGACATGTCAAAGTATTCAGATACTCAATAAAACTTCGGTTCATAACAACTTCCTCAATCACGCACCAATTTTCCACCCGCACTACGTTAGTTCTCTCCAAAATGTGAACTGGTGCATTCTCCATGGAATACGAAATAATATAATGAAATTTTATTGTTGGAGGTTAAATCGGATAAATAGGTTTGTCCTCCATCCTGAAATTATTTCTTGGCTTCAATTAAAAACAAATCAGATGTTCCATTGAAATAATTTTGCGCACTTTTATATAATATATATATATATATATAATAAGTACCTCTTCATCATTGAATTAGTGCAAAACACTCAACAAAATGATGAATTCTGGGAAGTAGTCTCCTTTATTTTTTTGGAACCTCCAACTTTACATCACTACTTGATGGTGATGATTAGATTGCCATTCAATTTTGGTTTTGAAACTATATGCATATTCAATATTTCCGCACGACCTTATATTGAGTTCATTGGATTTCGTGCGAGAATTGTTTGCACTGAGCTCCAAACTAACAAGTTTTCCAATGGAATTCAAAACCCGACACCAGTTTTACTAATGGAATACAAAATATACACTCAGTGCGAGCCAGTTTTACCAATTTAATTCGCTATGAGATTTCGAGAAAGAGAGAGAGAGACAAAGAGAGAGAAAGAGAGAGAGGGAGGGGGTAGTGAAAAAATATCGAAGCTCTTACCGTATTCTCGCCATTGAAATTCCGAATCCTATCAAAGATCATTTTTATGATTTTCGGATCATGACAAATATAATAGGAGTTGCAGGATACGTGTTGGCCGTAGGTGGAATATATCTCGGCGAGTTTATCCGACAGAGTCTTATTTTCGCTGTAAAGATAGGAGGCCATGGTCGTTGCCTGAAATGCAGCTGTGATCCCGTCCTTGTCGATCACATCGGTGGAACACATAAAGCCGATCGCTTCCTCGAAGCAGAATATCACTTTGTTTCCTTCTTTTTCCAGATCTAGAGCCTTATTGCCTGAAAATGCTTTTCTGTAAACTAGAGTCACTGGATGGTATTAGCAGAGATGTATTAGATGAGAGTTCGGACACAGCTGAACTTCTGTCTTTTTCTATTTTCTATATTTTACGATGGCTTGAGTGAATAAAAGAATAGGACATATATTCTGCTCATTGTCTTTTCAATTTCCCTAGTAGCGCCTGAATGTCGGATACGATTTTAGAGGTTCGATTTTCTGTCAAATCAATCATTGTCGTAGATGGAAAATAGATATGGGTCATAAACACCCACTTCAATTTATATTGCGATACCCTTCTTAATATGACAAAATAGATACATATGGACAAATTATAGCTAGTTCCATATCGTATATATCCGAGTGATAAAGTGTGAAACATGAAGATTGTTCTGCTTTTCCACCTTTTGCTACATTTCCTTCTTGCTGATAAATCTTGCAATTTACTTGATTTCCTCAGTTTCGTTCTCAAATTTTCAATTTTATTACGTAGTTTTGCAATCAATTCCTCTTCCTCTATGAACATTTTTTTGCATTTCATCTCATGATAATATTGGAATTCGTTTTCAATAGTCTGTTTTGTGAAGTGAATTTCAATGTATTTACCCACCTCACAAATTTCGCATGTATTCAAATTAATTTTCCATCCAGAAATCGCAATTTCCTCCAGAATTCCAGCAATTCATTACACAGCACGACATTTTCATTTATGCTTTTTTCTCAATAGTTTATATATATTTCAATTCTGACGTTAACAAATTTTTTTGTCAAATTCGAACAATTTTGATGAAAAAAGTGCGGAACCACTATGATGCTATTGTCACAATGCAAGATGTGTAACTTGATGAATCTAAACATACAAAAATACTAACAATTGTCATTTCTGTGTCCGAACTTCTATCTAACTAATACCATCCAGTGACTACTGTAAACGATGGTAATTTTGAAATATCTAATTCTGAACTGAAATTCCAGATGACTAGAAATTATCTCGTGTGCATAACACGACCTTAATATAAATATTTTTCAGTAAGTTGGCATCATACTGAAAAAACTTTTAACATTTTGAAATTCGACTCAGGCGTCGAGTTTTACTTCGAAAATGATGAATAATGGCCTACTCTGCCGTGGTCACGTCACGTGACTTCCGCAAAATGTAAAAAATTCAATTTTTTTCCAAGTTGATCGCTGTTTGAATCACAAAAACCTTCAAAAACTGAGAAGAGTTGTTTTATTTCAGACAAGTGTTTCAAATATGAACTTGTTATTATAACTATACTAGATTTCGATAATTTTTCAATTTTTAAGACTTTTTGGATATGAATGTGAATTTCTGATTGAACTACATCAGAATTTGAATTATGAATTAGTGCAGCGTGTTGAAGAACGTTATTCCTACAAGTGAAATTTTGAAAAAATATTTCGATTAGTTTCATCATGAAGTATATGTATAGTTAATAGCAAGAATCATCTTGATTATGAGTTTAACCAGAAATGAGTAAAATGATTGACATTTTCTTGTGAAAATCATCATCCGCAACCGCATTTTCATTAACCAAGAAACGTTTACTATAAACCAGTATAAATCAGGAATGAGTTATAATAAATTAGTTCGAGTATATGACAAAAAAGTTCATAAATATCATGCACTAAAGAGTGCGCGTAATTTCAAAGTCAATGCAAATGGTTTATATTTCAGACGCGTCGCGACGCTCAGCTCTCATAGTAGGTTATGAGATTTTTAATCTCTGATTCGAATCTACTTCACCCCATCCTTTGACTATTTTTAACAAAAATTCAATATTCCTATTCGTTTTCGAGATATTCGCGTGTGGAGTTTCAAGTGAAAAACCCTGTATATCGAAAAGTACATTTTTATCACGTAAGGGGCAAAATGCAACCCTCTACATAAACAAAAAGATGGCAACAATGATTTGTGAATTGCCCCCTACCGATCCATTTGAATCCAGTAAGGGTGTCAACATAATTGAATCCCTCTTGTTTGCTCATGGTTCTCAGGATCATAGAGCTGACCGTACTGGAGATCATGTACACCCTGTCCAACGGTTCGTCCGGGTATTTTTTTCTGAAACAGTGCAGCATCCACCATCCGAACAGAGCTCCTAATTCATTGCCGGTGAAAATTTTCCATTCGCCGCTCCTGGAAAGCAAAAACATAATCAACAACGAATCAACAATATACTCGTTTATGTGTAAGGAACATTAATTCGATGGCGTTCAATCGCACTTGTGCAAGTGAGTATCTACACTCACCGGCAAAAATAAACAACAAATTTGCTCAAATTGTCCTCCATGTAACTTTTTTAATCCTTCTCCGAGATTCATGTTCCGAAATTATATCCTGAATATTAGTTTCAGTGAAAAGGTGATTACTTGATTATTATACAGGAAAAACCCGAAGTTAATATTTCACCCTTTATTTCTTAACGCCCTGTGACGAAATTGAGTGGTTCAATTTGGCTTCATGAACCTTTGGATTTAATTGTGAATCTATTTCAGCATAATAGTTTTTGATTCACGTCAATATCACAACTGATAGCGGCCTGATTACTTTGTTTTTATTGATTCACATTTGTTTTTTGTTTGTGCTTATTGGTCATATCATCAAAATGAGCGTCAAATCAATAAAATGTTCCAACCATCCTTACGAAGCTTCAATCATATATAGATACCGTGCATGTATTTCAGTCTGATGTATATCGTACTCGATATTTTCCTGAAATAAAATGACAACTGGCAACATAAGAGGAGGCTAATGGCTAGACATGCCATTAAAAAGCTATGTTTAAACGTTCCATGAGATGGTAGGGATTTCAGTCAGTGTTTTTTGGACTGTATTCTGGCAGAACGTATCAAGAAACAGGCAAAGAAGCAGTACATCAAAGGACCTTGTCACAAAAGAACTGCGGACCTGCTAACTCTCAGCAGGAGGCAAGTGATGACAGTTGAAACAGGACTTTTTGAATGGACACGAGCTAAATAACAAAATAAGGCTGTACAACGGTACTGGTACTGGTGGGGGACGTTTGCACGTCAGCAAATAGTCCCTAATGGGACCTTTTTGCAAGCCCCAAGGTGTTTTTTCAATGACTGATGTGGTTCGCTTAAGAGAGCTGGCTAACATCCTTTTCAGACACCGCCCATCAGCTCTCTTCCAGAGAGCTGTGTTTTGTAGGCTAGTAATGTACTCACTACCATATGCTGCAGTAGCAGGCTTGCTAGCTATTCTCGTTAACCCCCTTTAGAGACCGAGGTCCACTAAGCAGCTGGCCCGCTCTCGCGCTCAGCTGGTAGTTTTTCCACACCCACCTACATACACCGTCCTACTTCTTCTCTGATGCTCACAACCACATCATCATCTCTTTCTGCCTGTTCTGTGGAGGCTTTGTTACTAACTCCGTGCGCCACTTTAGGAGCAGCACTGTTAATTGGAACGCAACAACGAATCGTGCAGGACTATCCCCAGCCGATGCTCCGAAACTTTACAATATTTAATTCGTGAATAAAATATTGAAAAAAGTTCCTTGCTCGTGCTAGGAATCGAACCCACAGCCTCAAAAAACACTAGCAGGAAGATATTCTTACTTAGGATCCTTCTCAGCAACTGCCAGTCTATCGGCATCTGGGTCATTCGCTATTATCACTGGGCTGTCATTTTGGTTCGCCGTCTTGAATGACAAATCCAAGCTACTTTTTCCTTCCTCGGGATTTGGGAATCTGAAACGAGAGTTCTATAATCAAATCCTTCTCTGATTTCTCACACTCTGACTGGAATCGTGAGATAGTTAAATTACCGTGATCAGTGATATCCTACAATCATGCAATAGCAACGAAAGTACGAGTAAATTGGTTCCGGATCCCCTGGTATATTTGGTGCTACAGTTTCTCTTTTCAAAATGCATTGAATATTGCCAGCAATTATATACACTGTACGATACTGATACAGATGCAGATTTGGTTATTTCCAAAAAACGGACTTTTCGGGTTTTCAGTTTTTTTTTGCGTTGATAATGAAGTTGAAGGCAACTTTCGATGCTTTTCAATTTGGCATCATCTCTTTTCTGATCCAACGTTTCGCTGTTGAGCAATCATCATCAACTTCACATTTTTTCAAATACGACCCTAATATTTTTATATCAGATTGGAATAGTCTAATCCATTTTGATTTTAACAATAGTAGTTGTGATGCACATCGAGCTCATTCTGTTGTTGTTGTTCTTTATTACCCCAAGGAACATATTCGATTATAGTAGGGATATATACACATATGATATATAAATACAGTCTGTCCAAGATAAGGTTGAACAGCATGGGGATCTCGAAAACGGTAGGAGATACGAAGTCGGTTAAATGGAGAAAAAGTTGCGCATTCGGAGGCTCATATCAAGAGCCTTCGAAAATTTTTGAAATTATTTTTAGTTTTTTAGTTATATCGAAGAAAGTGAATTTTTGGAATATCTATTTTATTTTTTTTCTCCGTTATCATTAGAGATACAGAAAAATTGAGAATATTTTTCATAGCAACTTTTGATGACGTTTAACGTGGTTATACCGATTTTTGTATGCCACGTTTCGTATCCGTAGAACCATCATCAACTTTTGTTATTTAAATACGGTCCTGATAATTTTTTCACAGATTCTGGAAGGTTTCTTTATTCTGAATTCAACCATGTATTATACAAGGTGATTCGAATGTGTTTCGACCTATTTGACCTTATTGAAATATTGGTATCACCACGTTAAACGTCATCAAAAGTTGCTATAAAAAATATTTTCAGTTTTTCTGTATCTCTAATAATAACGGAGAAAACAATAAAATAGATATTCCAAAAATTCACTTTTTTCGATATAACTAAAAAACTAAAAATTATTTTAAAAATTTTCGAAGGCTCTCGATATGAGCCTCCGAATACGCAACGTTTTCCCCATTTAACTGACTCCGTATCTCCTACCGATACAGACTGTATATATAACAATAAAAAAAAAAAACTTATTAACGAGTTATGTCGATATAACATAATAATTAAAATATAATCATTCCAAGTATTCGAATGAGAATAAATTGCTCCGTTTATAGTGTCTTGAGTGTACACTTTTTCATATTGACTTTGAATCTTGTTTCATCATCAATATGTTTCGAATCATAAGGTGATGAAATATATAAAATGATCCCGTTGTAAAATACTGATTGTTTGCCAATAATGGAAGTATATGGGTTTGCTATTAGATAATGAATTCAACTGTCTCGTTTCATGAGTATGAATTGTTACTTTTGGAATCAATAATATTAGATTGAATTATTGAAATAAAAACTTTTTTATTCTATGTGGGATTTTTGTATCTAGCTTAGTTTTTGAGTAAACAATACAAATTCGATTCAAGACTTTCCATGAGATTACTCAATAACCCCAATTAGAATCATTATGAAATTTTAGGGCTTTCTCAGTCCCCATCAATACTGAATTTTGGCACCATAAAAGCTTATACAGGGAGGTTATAAATTGAAACAATTGATACTCCCAACTTCAACATCCTGTATCTCAAAAACTTTATTTTCTAGAATGCCACAAGGAAACACCCCTTGCATTTTTTTGGTGTTATTTTCAGATACACCCTGTATATCATTTCGTTATCAGATGACCGTCGAAATGTGCAACCGGCTCTTGGACTATAAGATCAAGGTCTTACGTGATTGGTGAATCTCAAAGATGAAAATATCGTCAAAAATATCCACTTACTTCACAGTCGGAAATTCTGGATCGGGCTCTATTTGCTCTGACACTGGGACGAATTTGATCCCTATAGCTTCAAAAACCCTTTGGATGTACCTGAAACCAACCCCATGCATAGCAGTATAGGTGAAAAGCAAATTGACACGTTCGTTGAGCTCTCTGTGCTCAGGAAGAATGGCATCTTTGATGATGTTGACGTAATCTTCGAGGACTTCGTCTAAGGGGTCGTTCAGCAGGTCAGTCTTCGCTAGCATCGAGGTGTTCCAAGAGGTGTCTAATGGTTCTAGATTCTGGAGGATCGATTTCTGGATATTGGCATCGACTGGCGGAATGATCTGAGCTCCGTTGGGACCATACGCCTACAAATTAAGGAAGGAGGCAATGGAGAATACGTGATTTGAATGGTATGGGACTACTTCGATGGGAGCTAATATTTTCAATCTCACCAGTTGGCGCTATTTTAAGCTTCAATTCAATTTCAGAAAGGGTCAATTGTATTTCAGAATAGTCAATAGAATTTCAGAAAGCATCATATATTTGTATTTCAGAAAATATCATTTTGATTTTAGAAAGCGTCATTTTCACTCCAGAATCATCAAGATTGATCAGTTAGTAGAAAGTGCATTCCATGAAGGTCTCTATAGGCCATAAGGTGTTAACTGTTCAGCGCTCCCAAGTCCCAAGAGCTTCACGGAGTGATATCTTCACTTGTAATACCACTAGAGGTCAAATTATTTTCCGGAAATTTTGTCGAGCTCACAGATATTTTGAAAATTATTCCGAGTGGAAGACGAGAGTCATGGTTCTAGATTCTGGAGGATCGATTTCTGGATTTTAGAATCGACTGGCGGAATGATCTGAGCTCCGTTGGGACCATACGCCTACAAATTGAGGAAGGAGGCAATGGAGAATACGTGATTTGAATGGTATGTGACTACTTCGATGGTAGCTAATATTTTCAATCGCACCAGTTGGCGCTACTACATCTTTGTGAGGTGTATTACAGAAAGCTTCAATTCAATTTCAGAAAGCATTATTTGTATATAAAAAAACATCATTCTAATTTTAGAAAGCGTCATTTTCACTTCAAAATAATCAAGATTGATCAGTTAGTAGATGGTGCATTCACTGTTCAGCGCTCCCAAGAGCTTCATGGAGTGATATTTCCGAATAAATCACCCCTTATTCCTTTTCTAGGTTTCCTTAGATGAACAGATTACATTTGTAGTTGGGAATCATCAATACGAATAGATAAAAAGAGAGACGCGTAGCGGAGGGAGACAAAAAACCGTGAGCTAAAATCTAATATTTTTTCCGTGTATAATACACTATTTTTTTCTGTGATAGAAGAAAGGACGAATCAATATTGGAAAGATATTACATTATTTTGAAATCTTAAAATGGGCGTGTACACCTTAGTAGAACTTTTAACTCAAACCATGTTTATAATGATCCTTTTATACATGAATAATGATTGACAACATAATTCGATCGAAAAATTAACTGAAATGTTTTATTTTTGGACATAAATAATAGTACCTTCTGAAAATAGACCCTCTTATGGCGTAGAAACCTCACCTCACCATAGTTAAAAGAAAATACCAAACGACCGACGGAGACTGAGGCAATTGATATATTAATTCTTTCAACTGTGATCTCACGCTAATTCACTCTGTCAGAAATCATGTATGATTCATCTCTGTCTGGAATAGTCTTGTTTCAGTGTTAGGGTTTTGACGTCACATCATCGCCTCGTTTTCAGAGGTCCGAAAAATCGGGGATTTCAATAATTTTTCATGAAACGTAGGGAGCTCACAGAAAGAAACGGTTTGCGGTGGTGAGCTAGTTTGGGTGAGTTCTATCGAATTATGAAATAAAAATGTTTTGTGATATAAGCCCATTATCGACGTGAAATTTCGCGGGACAGGGACAGTAGGGACACCTGCGTTGTAGGCATCTCTATCATTCTTTTGAAGTAATCAAATATCTGATGTCACTTCTGTCAGTCTAATTCTGTGATTTGATGTCAGAAAATTGCAAATTTAGTGGTTGTTTAGTAATGTACGTAACCGCGAAGTCGAATAGATGATAAAAGGACTTGCAGTTCTTTCTCGGAGACGGTATTATTGACTCATTTTTCGGAACTATAGCACAACAAGAGCCATCAACAGTGTATATATATGTGGTATATATCCGGGAAAAAAGTACTCACTTTTTTCTGACGGGAAAAAAGTAATGAATGGAAAGTGACAATTTATAACCTGCCAACAGAGTTGAAATGCCAAACTTTTTTCCCGTCACAGAAAAAAAATTGTTATTATTAGTTAACGCATGGGGAACCAACTTTCTCGAATCGCAAAACCCTCAATAAACACACTGCATTCAAAACATTGAATTTTGAAGCTTATTTAATTTCTCAGATTCTTTCGAAGTAAAGAATGACATATTCTGAAATTCAATTGACTATTCTGAGATACAGTTGACGCTTTCTAGAATTTTATTAACTATCAATTCTGAAATAAAATTGATGCTTTCTGAAATACAATAATTGACGATTCCTGGAATACAATAAGTGACTATTCTGAGAAAAATTGACGATTTTGAAATACAACTGGAAAAGGTGTAGAGCTTGGGGTCTAAGTCAATGTCAAAATTTGGGCGTTGGGCATGTAACTCAGAGGTTGTGAGTTCTACTCTCACGCGAGGCGGTGGAGTTTTTTCATTTTTCGTTGTCACTCGAAATTAGGGCTTTCCATCATCTTCATTATCATGTGTATCTTTTCGGTCGAGTAACCGACAAAAATTATCACTCACTTCTATATGTATATATTCGTTGCTAAAGACAATGACAGAGGACGAACGGGGGAAAATGGAGACTGTATAGTACCATCCTGCCAGCGATACTTCATATAGTGCATGATTTTGAGTGACTTTGGGATTTTGACGGATTTTGCCGCCTGGTGTGTGATGAGAACTCAACAGTCCTGCCGATTGATCGACGGAGCTCAATTGGCAGATCGTTGGGGATATAACCCAGAGGTTGTGAGTTCGACTCTCACGCGGGACGGTGGAGTTTTTTCATTTTCCGTTGTCACTCGAAATTATGGCTTTCCATCATCTTCATTATCGAATGTCCGAATTTCGCAGGATCGTCCTAAAGGTTGAGGCCTTTTTTTCCGAAAATTTGGCGAAAGAATATGAAAATTCAAGGTATACTTAGGCTAAGGAAAGTTCAGGTTCTGTACCTTCAATATGAAACTTTCACGCAATACTTATACACATTAATAGGAAAAAAGATGTATAGTACGAAGAGGCCCAATTGAATGAAAGAAAAAGTATACCAAACAGTTCTACCAACACCTTGACCTCATATCATAATGGAACGATGTGGTGGACAATAAAAGTATGTAAGCCATCGTTTGAATCGGTATTTAGATCAGTGAACATGATTTGGTATTGAGAAAATCACTGCCCCTCTTTCAGAATAATAGTTTTGAAAGAATATTCTTGGGATTCTGGATAAAAATGAAATATTGAAGGAGGTCAAACTTTGGTAGAATACATTCATGATTGATAGGAAATGAGGGACCATCAAGTACTTATACTTACTTACTTTGTATCCATTGTCATCCTTTGGATTGTGCGAGGCAGTTATCATTATTCCACTAGCGCATCCGTATTTTTTAACGGAAAATGGAATGAATGGAGTTGGTACCATTTGGCCAAATAGTTTGACTGGATACCCTGCGTTCGCCATAATGGTAGCAGTAATTTCCGCCCACCTAGAAAAATAAAACACACATTTTCTCCACCATTAGCTATATGACCCACTTTTATTTAGGTACTTCTTTTTGAAGTGAAGTGTAAGGTCCAAATTTTAGCTGAGAATTTTTGGTAAAAAAATTTAATTCGAGAAAATATAAATAAATTTCAAGATAACTCACAACATTATCATATGCTATAGTAGTCCGCCATATTGGATTGTAATGTGATTAAATCCGAAATAATTGCTTATATATATATAACTGTACCAAATTTCAGAAAAATCCGATGACGAAAGCAGAAGTTACAGGGGTGGCCCGATACCCTGTGTCACCCGGTATTTCAATTATTTTAGTTCCGGGAAACCGTAATATGGACCTATTGTCACTATGAGAGCACTTATTTTCAATACTTAGCCATGACCATGACAGCATATGACAAGTCGTTATTGATAAATACCTACCTACTAGATTCGAGTGCCATTTCTGTGAATATCTGATCATAATGTATTCGGGTTATGTAAAGGCTCTGTCTTTATGGACTAGTGATTCATAAAATGACGAAAACTACCTTGGTAGTAAAAACAAACTCCACGCATCGAAAAGAAGTATATAATGGTGGTGGAAAAACATGATTATTGTGGTCGACTCAATAACAAATGATGAAAAACTTGCACAACATGAAAATCGTCATAATCATAAACAAAAGTATGGAGGGGCACCAAAATGAATTTTGTTAGATATCTCGAAAGCCATGAGGAATTATAAAATCAGTGCACTCAGCAAAAGGTAGGATAATTCATGATTTCATTCATCGAAATATCAAAATGTGTTCAGTGTTCGTACTCCAAAAAGAGTTACATCAATTTTTATATTGATTGAATTGCTACGATATGTTTTCCATGCACATTCACTATAGTAAATTGCCCTGGAAAAATCTGGAAATAGAATTTTTCTCCATCGCCCTCTCATGGCTCAACGATGCATTTTCGTATGGGGGTGAGTTGATTTCAATCGGCCTATTTTGGACTCTAGTTCACCCTGTAGAATTTATGATACGTTGTTCTGGGACATCTTGTACAAAAAGAAATAAGTACGAAAACTCCGAATACCCCAAAATGTTTAGCTGTTGTACCGGTCATCGTATTCAGTGACGATACCGTTCGTCCTCAGCAGGTCCTGGTGAGCCTCTTCCAGGTACTCCAGCTGCCCCTAACTCGTCTGCACTATTATCAAATCGTTCATTTGTGCAAAAGAAAGACCCCAAGGTATTGACGAATTTGGTACATCGGCTGTTGAGGATATCCCAAATTTGAATCAAAATACAATTTAACTGTAAATGAATGAGAGTACTAACAACAATCGAAGTACCAAGAAAGTGTTTCTGTAATATAACGGAAGATCAAAATAATTCGATGCAGTGAAATTCTACTCCCTGCTATATATTAATCAACTATTTATTCAAACTTGCTATGATATTGAGACACAATTTTTTTGGGGTTGTCTCAAGGTTTATCATGTTTGAAACAAAGCAGTCAACTATCGCTGCGTTCCATTGTCCTACCTACTGCTGTTGTACCGGCCATCATATCCAATGACGATACCGTTCGTCCTCAGCAGGTCCTAGTGAACCTCTTCCAGGTACTTAGGTACTTCCCTAGCCACTGACCCGTCTGCACAATCACCAAATGGTTCATTTGTGCGAAAGAAAGACCCCAAGATATTGACGGTTATTGAGGATATCCCAAATTCGAATCAAAATGCGAAAGAACTGCTAATGTATGAGAGTACTTACAACAATCGAAGTGCCAATGAAGTGTTTCTATAATATAACGGTAGATCAAATTAATTCGATGCTGCTATATATTGATCAACTATTTGATCAAACTTGCTATACTATAGAGACAACTTTCTTTTTGGGTTGTCTCAAGGTTAATCATGTTTGGAACAAAGCAGTCAACTATAGCTGAGTTCCATTGTCCTACCTCTTGCTGTTGTACCGACCATCGTATCCAATGACGATACCGTTCGTCCTCAGCAGGTCCTGGTTAGCCTCTTCCAGGTACTTCAGCAACCCCTGACCGGTCTGCACAATCACCAAATCGTTCATGCACGCGTATCCAACCGCCATTCTCCCTCTCAACCCTGCAGTACCGAAGGCTATCCTGTTCAGCAGGATCCTCGACAGCTCTTCGGTCTTCTTCTGCGCCACCAAATCCCTCAAGGCGGCCGTGGTCGATTCGTTTTTGTCCCATGCCAACCACTCTGCGATCTTCGCGTTCAGAATAGCGACTTTTTCGCAATCGGTACTCGCGTTGCACATGGTTGTGGTGTCGATTGGAACTGAAATCGATTTAATCGGGGATATAATTATTGATAAAATATTCGTATATCGCGGTATGTCGTAATACAGTAACTGCGAGTGTTTACGCAATATTGTTTGGGTATATCTAACTCAATATGAATGAAAAATAACGGTTTGTTTGGCAATCTGAATTCTGATTGATATTTCTCAAGCTTGTTTGCTTACCAGTCTGCCGGATAATGTAGAAGCTAACATAGGTACCCCGAAAGTCTCTGTTTTCGAGTTTCCCTATAAAGGGTCTTCCTCGTTTTGCTTTAGTCAGGAGTTTGAGAATCCCAACAATAGTAATTATTATACCAAGATATAGGATATACAGTGAGGATGTAAAAAGTCCTCCCCCTCCTTCAACCTTTGAACGGCTTTCAATCTAGCAAGGTCGGGTAGAATTCAGGCAAAAAGGTACCACGACAGTGGTCGATTGGTTTTTGTCACATGCCAACCATTCTGCGAGGCACAGATCTGACCTGTCCTGGAATACTGTTCCCATATTCGGAGTGCAGCACTCAAACATACCCTGAAACTGTTGGATTCTTTCCAAAAAATGGCAATTCGTCTCGTGGGTGATGCCTCGCTCACAAACTCACTCATTTCTCTGGAACACCGTCGAAAAGTTAGCGATCTGGCTCTATTTTATAGATATTTTCATGGACGATGCTCTTTTGAAATATCAACAATTGTTTCTTCCCATGAGATTAACCCGTCGAGTTGAGGCTTCGCATCCCTTCGTGGTCCCTTTGGAACATCTCTTTCCAAAGACTCGTTCATCCAACGAACAGCGAGGTTCTGGACCACATTGCCAAGGTAGGTGTTCCCCGAGGCATGTGACCTCTAGAAATTTGAGTGTACCAATTCCTACCTCATTTTCCTTTTTCCCTATTTCCCTAGTCCAGTGAAGTTCAGTGAATTGATATCCTGGTCGTTGTTTGAAGTGATGATGATGAAATCATTGACAGTTACTTGAATTCAGATGGCGATTTGAATACAAGTTCGTCTGACAAGGATCCACAGTGTTTTGTCGGTAAATTATCTCCAATTATTGTGTTACAATACTGTGACAACGAACAAAGTGTGATGAGTGTACACCATATAACACCGAACGATATTAGTGCTACACAATCTACTGTGGTGGAAAACAATGTAGTTATTTGAGACACAGCGAACAGACCTGTAGTTACGGTTTCGAATGGATTTGAAATCGATTTTATCGGGGATAGAATTATTGATAAAATATTATAATATCGCGGTATGTCGTAATGAAGTATCTGCGAGAGTTTACGTAATGTTTTTGTTGTTACTCATAATCAGGGCTGGAATGAGTCATGACTTCAATGAAAAAGTTGAAAGTTCGATTTTTTGAAGTAATTCGGACTTTTTTGAATTTTTTGTTTTTGTTCAATGTCTCAAAGCATAACATAAAAAAACATGCAAGTTTCACAAAACAAACTGAAACTATTGATTGAGTGAAGAAAAATGAATGCTACCTATTTATGTTGAGGCATATTTGTATTGCTGGTACAACTCTAGTGATAAAATGATAGATCATAATCAAGGTATTTAAAAGTTCATTATTCCAGATTTTTTGTGATTTTCTCATCTCGTTTTTTTTTCAGTATTGAATACCATGTTCTATCAATATCAACTGAAATCTGAAAATGAGAATGGTGAATTCAAGATAGATTAATAAGAAATTCCTCATTCGATTGCCAACGTCGCCAATATTATTGTCACTGAGAACTGAGAAGTATCAAGACGAATACAGATTTGCTATACAAATATCCATATTTTATGTTGAAAACGGAAGCAGATTCGTTTCCGAAACGTTCAAAGCTAAGTGAAAATCTCATATTTTGTCTATATTTTAGGCTATCTGATAGGGAAATTCTTTGAACGCAGTGACATTTTGAGGCGAATCATATGATGTGTCCTTACTACACGTATATTGAAATAATATTCATATTTTCATTCTATAGAAACGAAGAGAAAAAAATTTGGAATAATGAATATACCACCTCCTCGATTAACCTACAGACAGTATTAAAAAGTTATCAGCGCCCCATCGCTAAATAAAACTACATCCAAATAAAATATTTCATTCGACCTTATAGAAGGAAACCATGATATTATACTTATTATTATTTGTCACTTTTTCGAGTAACCAGCTTTTCAAGACAATTATTTTATTCCATAACAAAACATCATGTGAAAATCGGCAATAGAGACTTGGCAATGCTGTGCTGAATGCTGAGAACTGACAAGACAACGCCCAATCAATATTATTATTATATGGGCATATCGAAATGTGTGAACAACGCGATGTGGGAGTGACGAAATGTGGATGTAACGACACGCTCCCGGTAGATCGTCTTGAATGAGCACCACCGGGTATATGTATAACGACGGAGAAAATTAGCTTGATGCTGTGAAATTCTACACACTACTACATTAATTATCTGTTTAATCAATCAATTAATTATATCCAACTCATAGTGGTACATAAAATGTTGTTTGTATTACTATTTTGTTCGTGACCTATGTGTATTGTATTGTCAGTATTGTCACATCCGAGAAATTGTTTGACCTTGACCAGCACGACCTACACCTACACTAAGATGTCATGGAAAAACACTAATTCCATACACTGAGTAATATAAAAATCTCGTACATATCACTATTATACAGTTGCAGTCCCTATCTATCACTTCAAATAAGTGAAAGCTGATAAGCAGAGAGAGAGATGGAAATGAGATAATAAATATAGATAATAGAGATATAAATAATTTTCTATAGTTTGAAAGAATGATTCTAATTATCAAAAAACTGTCATGTACAGAGTGATCAAAATCCTAACCAATGGAACCTCGAATAAAACCATATCGAGGTGCTCGGATAGAAACCAATAATTATGAATGAATGGGTGATAGAAATTGGGTGAGCTGTTTGTGGTATATTATTTCTCTTGGGTCACTCGGTATATCAACATCGAATATACAGGGGTGTCCCAGAATTGCTGGGACACAGAGTTAGCACGTGTGATAATTTTTTATGTAGCAAAATCTACCGTTTCTCCGTAAGACGAGTTCAAAGTTTACATAAAAAACACATTCTTGTACGCTGTTCAAAATTCAGTGAAACAAATTGAATGTGAAATTTGACAAAAGTGCATTTTAGAGGATATCCTCTTGAATGACATTTTGTCAAATTTTATTTGTTTCTCACGAACAAACGGTACATTCTTTATGTAAATCAGATATTTTTGAACACCCTGTTTTTTGAGGAACTTATATCTACTGCACAGTTTACACACATGTTCCTAAAGAACATCGTGACATTGGCAAATAAACAATTACAAATACATTAACCAAGTTGTTATGATATGCATGCGTGTGATCAAATCATGTCATCAAATAGTTAGTGAAACAATATGGTATTGAATATTTTTTGTGCTCTCACACAAGGTAAATTTGATCTATCTCACCTAACTCACTTATTGTATATTATTTCTGTAATATTATATATATACAGTGTGTCCACCTTAAGGACTTACTACCCCTGTATATCGTTATTATCTGACCAATTTCAGAAAACCTTTTTTTGTTGGATAGGTATTTGAAATGCCCATCCAACGAGAGAGTGATCTATTTCTTGGACTGTTATCGTGGCCAACTGCGACAAATTTCAATGACCCATATTCCAGAAAGTACTATTAGGGATTTTTTTCTTACGAAACTTGATGATGGATTTTGAATCAGTACTACTTGAAATATACCTGTACCGATTTTCCTCATCATAAAACACAGGGTGTCCGAAAAAACGAATCATCATTTTCTTCAAATAAGTGATCAGCAAATGTAGTTCTGTGGTTTTTCTAGAAAGAAATAATCACAAATTATCATTGAGGATTATTTCAAATATACCTGTACCAATTTTCGTGATTTGAATAAACAATGTGTCCGAGAAAAAAATTTAAAAGGATAGGTAAGCAATATTTTTCATCCTGATAATTCATCACTCAAAATAAAAAGATGAATCAGGATCACGTGGAATATATCTGTATCGATTTCTATCATCATTAAACACAGAGTGTTCGAAAAATCAAATTGATATTTTTTTTGAGTTGAAAAAATATTGCCTACTTTTTCTTTTTAATTGTTTTCTCATACACATCGAATTTTTGAATGATACAAATCGGTACAGATATGTTCAAAGTGATCCTCAATAATAATGTGTCATCAATTCTTCTCAAACATACCACAATACTACATTTTTTGATCACCTATTAAAAAAAAACATAATTCGTTTTTTCGGACACCCTGTGTTTCATGATGATAAAAATCAAAAGAGGTGTTTTTCAAGTGATCGTGATTCAGAATTCATCATTGTTTTTAGTGAAAAAAAAATCCCTAATATTACTTTCTCAAATATGGGTCAATAAAGTTGGTCGCAGTTGGCCACGATTACAGTTCATGAATAAAATCACTCTCTTGATGGATGGACATTTCAAATACCTATCCAACAAAAAAAGTTTCTTGGAATCGGTCAGATAATAACAATTTTACAGGGGTGGTGAGTCCTTAAGGTGGACACACTGTATATTATATTATTTCTATTACCAATTTCGAACCTTCATCACCTATATATATGTGAAATCGTAAAATTGCAGTAGACATTTGTATGGAGAAGGTGTCCTTTCGTTCAAAATTATCTCGAAATTCAAAGTAGAAATTTGTCAATTATCAAAACCCGAGTCAAAATCGGACGTTGGATGTGTACCAATAAATTCATGCATCTGGGTGAAACTCTCTGCATAATTATTAGTTCCTAGTTCTCTATCTAAATGAAAGTATACATTATCATTTTCTGTTGGGCAGTTTTCGAAAAATGCCGTGTCAATTATTAGAAAACTTCCCGCACCCTCAATATCTTTCTTCCAGTAAATAATATGAAAAATCAAAAAGGTAGGCCGATCTCCTTCTCAAGGGGGACACATTGAATGCATATTTTTTGCCCTCTTAGTTCAACCCTCTTTCGAATAGTTCCTAGTTTATCATTTTTTGATGAGCAGTTTCCAAAGAATACCGCCGTTCTAAACTTACAGAAGTAATTTGACCATGCCTGCACTGAGATGCAGCTGCATCTTGACCTCCCTTTTCATATGAGGTTCTAGTGGGTTGAACTGAGAGAGCTAAAAATATGCACATGAAATGAAATTAATGTGTCTACGCCCTTCAAAATGATGTGCCACTTGACCGGTGAGATAGAGTAGGCCCTGCTTGACCCCCATTCCAGGGCCTACTCTATCTCACCGGGCCGGAGCATCGCTTTCGTGACGTCACACTACTAGGGACAAAATCGAGGCGCTGATTTACGATTAATAGTTCAAGAAATATAGCATATACTACATTCAGAATTGTCGTTTTTTAAACAGCTGCTAGAATTTCAATATTCAATTCACAGAAATGATTCAACCATGCAAATGCTCCTCATAGTATCTAGATTGACTATAATTTTTTTCAAAATTCTCAAGAGCCAATATCAAACCGATATGTCAATTCAAGTTAAATGGTGATTCAGATGATTATTACAGACTAGGTCAAAAAGTTTAGACGGCCCCCATAATACTCTCATATTAATGAAGATATCCAGCAGAGGTCTATAATAATTCAATTTCTTTGAATTCAGATTTTTCTACTCCAGTGGGTTGTGATATAAGGGGTAGTTTTTGGTTCACAAATCATTTCATTGTATGAAGGTTGTTTATCTGGTGTAAAATTATTGATTCACATAATAATTTCTTTTCGTGCGCTTCAAGAGATAAAGAAAAAAGCAAAGTGAAACTCCGTTGCCAGAAAAACCGTTGCTGCTGTCACACTCGTACAATAAGTTCCCATGTCAGTTTTATAAAATTAATATTTTTTAAAATTTTAATACTAGATTTGTATGCAAAGTTGCGAAGAAACATTAATATTCATTTGTCATATAATGGATATGACTGATATAAGTCAACTCTTGGAGATCACTTCAATAATTAGTAGAAAAAAACATTTTGGTCTCACAGCTCTCGCAGTACATAATACACAGCTCTGACTTGAGAATTCATCTTCGAATCCATCAAATCATTAACAGTATCTTGAAGAAACGGTTGAAGAATTTAACTTTAAGATTTTATGAAAATTTCTTGCGCTACCAAATTATCTCTCAGACTTCGGAATTCCTCGGAATTCCAAGAGACTACCCGGACAACCCAAGGAATTCCAGGATCTCCCAAAGAATTCCTGGACTTCCCAAATACTATCCGGAATACCCAAAGAATTCTCGAACTTCTCGAAGAATTCCTCGGAATTCCTGAAGAATACCCGGACTACCCAATGAATTCCCGGACTTCCCACGTGATTTATTCCTCGTGACAAGTAATTCCAACTCAAATAAGCCATTATCAAATGTAAATAAGTAGGTACCCACTCGGGGACTCAACTGTTATAATTATATTACAGATTACGAAACATAGTTTCTATATCACTTATGCCACTTTAGGTTTGAATCATCAGTATCGAGATCAGTATCAATGATTATTTGAATGAACTATAATGAAGAATCAAGCAAATAGGTAGTTTGCGATTTGATAGGATTCAATTGTGAGCTATTTAACTATCTGCTTATATAGATTCACTTCTAACAGTGCTACTAGTGGGTAAGCTGTGATCAGAGTTCGAAATGTCATCCAAATTTTCGTTCATTGTTGGTATTGAATTTCAAAAATGAAAAGTATAGATTCTGTTCTGTTTATGGTGTCACCAATTCAAAACTACCACATGGACGCTATAGTTATCTACAGCACAGGTGTACACCTATATAATATAAATAGGTGCCTATTATTTGGCGATACGTATGTAGCGTAGGATCTTATCTGTTTTTCTGATAAAATAATATACGGGTAGCCGCTAGTTGACGAATTTCGTGACAAAAGTGAGAATTGCCGATTGTTGCTAACATACGAGTGGTTTCATGGAGGTGAAAAGACAACAGGAAAATGGTATTTTGTACCCCTCACGTCATCACTTCATCGAGTATTGATCAAAGTATTGATCAAGAAATATATGTCTCACAAGGTTGGTACGTACACTCGTCTTCAGTGAACATGTCGCGGTTGGACGGTATGAACGATCTTATTGCAGCGGTGATTAAGAGAGCTGACACCGTCCATGTGCGACATGTTCTCTGAAGACGACTGTACATACGTGTTATATTGTTCCACACTGTTCTACACTTCACCTATCGAACAACTGCAATACATAGTTGTACGCTCTATATGAACATTTTGCAACCACCCTTGAGATGAATTGTGCACAATATTTCACTCTTATCTGATTACAATATTAAACCATGGTGATTGATATGAATTTATTCATTGTCAGATGGCACCTCGCCCCTTTTTTCAGATAACACGTACTTAGTGATTCTTTGAATATTCCTAGAATATTCTTGTGGAATGTTGAACATTCAAATATTCTCAGATAGTTTACACAAAGTGCGTTTAGTTTTCTGAGAAAATTCCGAGGAATGCACATGATAACTTACGTTTCTATAGAAGTTCCTCATAATCTCAGAATGTGTCCAAAAATGTACTAAGAACATTTGAGAAAATGCAGACTTATCCAGAGAATATGAAGAGCATCCTCAGATTATCTTAGAATAAGATTCAGGACTGACGGGGACTGACACTTCTTTCTGTTTTTTCTAAACCTCATATAAAGCCGAGCAGTGTTTTTTCATCATTTCATGAATTTATTTTGAACCAATTGGAAGGCTCCTTTTTGATTATGTTGCTTACAGCAACGGGTGACTATCGCCATAATTTTGTTCGGTCCTAGTAACTTAATGGAATTAATGTGATGATTATTCTGTCAAAAAAGAAGCGCCTTATACAGGGTAACTCACGGTCCATGGTACGTTAGACGTAAGGAGAACGGGACATAGGATCATTCTGAAATTTTGGTTACTCTCGTAGTTGCTTTTGATCTATCGATGTAAAATATTTTCAGCTCTGCGACGTTGCCGCTTCTATCAAAAAGTAGCAACAACTTTGTTATTTTGAATGGAACACCCTGTATTTTATTGAATTTTCAGATTTTCTCTGAAGAGCTGATTTCATCGATGTATCACACTTGGGGTCTAGCGGAAATGATTACAGAGATATAAGGTGTGAAAAATCGACAGTTTTCAACTTTAGGAATTTTGTTTGTCGAAACTATTCGTTATTGGTCAAAACGGCTCACATGAAACAAATACAGGGTGGTGCAGAATTCAGAATCTTGATCACCCGGTATATGTCGCAATTAAATATCAGTAGATAGTTAATCAAAAGTTGAGATAGGGACATGTAAGCCGTTTTGACCAATAATGAATAGTTTCGACAAAAAGAATTCCTAAAGTTGAAAAAAGTCTCGAAAAAAGTCGATTTTTCACACCCTATATCTCTGTATATATATTTGCAGAAGTCACTAAGTTACTTTTGGAACTATGAAGACATGTAATATCAGATGTTATGGTTGAAAGCGAATTAATGTTTTTAATGTTCCTGAAATTATAGTAATACACCTTATTTACTAACAAGTAGAATCAACTTCTTTTGTAAGAAAATAGTGCGTCATATTCTCGGTCATATTTGAGTAAACTCATCGGAAATATGTTTTTTAAGTTTCATTTGCAACTATATGTAGACATTAATATCAAATGTTATGGTTGAAAACGAATTGATGTTTTTAATATTCTATTGTGAAAATGTTGTGCGTCATATTCAACTATAAAGTTATCGGAAATATACACAGAATGAGTCGTAGGGTTCATCTTTTCATCATATTGAAAGCAATTCCAATTTATGGAATGTTGTTACCGAATCTCTCACGCAGCAAAATCAATTTCTGATAATTCTTTTCTTGGTATGTTTTTGTTGATAAAAAATTTCCCTCGTCTTCGACTATAATTTTCTATCAACAAAAACATTCGTGACCTTGAAAAAAATTATCGGCGATAATTCTGGTGCTATAATAAAATACTGGGTGTTGTGTCTAGTCTCCAAAACCATATCGTTAATGTTTTTTCTGATTACGCCACTGGATTCTGCTCATAATTCCCTGTTTGACATAGGGATTTCGTATAGATATAGGGGGGGGGGTCCAATAACTTGCGGGGTCGAATGCGAGTGCATTTTTATAATCGCCCTGTATCTCATAAGTGGAAACGTTATGCGAAATTCGAATTGATCATTTTCAATTTCACAAGAGAGTAGGGCAAGTAGGTGAGAACAACCGAGAAACCCCGGAGTCTCAACCAAAAGGGAATGTTTAATGATTTTCAATGATTTTTTACCGAAATTAATACAAAGCTCTGGAATTCATTGCCATAGGAAGTATTTCCAAGAACTTATAATCACCAAAAGTTCAAAAAAAATATCTGAGGAAGTATTTCCAAGAACTCATAATCACCAAAAGTTCAAAAAAATTCCATTACATATCTCTCGACCGACCTGTCGACCTACCGCTTCTTCCTATCCTCCGACTATCCGACGGTGTTTCGCTTGATTTTTTTGTATAGAAACTATTCATTATTGGTCAAAGCGGCTCACATGACCATATCTTGAATTTCAATTCATTATCTACTGATATTTAATTGGAACAAATACAGGTTGGTTTAAGATTGAGAATTCTGATCACCCTGTATCTGTTCCAATTAGATGTCCAATAATTAGTAAATCAGGAGTTGAGATAGGGATATAAAAGCCGTTCTGACCAATAATGAATAGTTTGGACACAAAAAATGCCAAAGTTGAAAAATCTCGATTTTGAACACTCTATAGCTCTGTAATCATTGCCTAGATCTCAAGTGTCATGCAATGATGAAATCAGCTCTTTTGGAAAAATCTGAAAATGTAATGAAATACAGGGTGTTCTATTTGAAATAACAAAGTTATTGCTACTTTTCGTTAGAAGCGGCAACGCCGCAGAACTGAAAATAATTTTAAACGATGTCTCCCTCGAAAATATAGTCGACGTGTTTCAGATTTTTTCATAATCCGGTTTTGGCGACCTACAGAGCCACTGTTTCGTTTTCAGAGGGCCATCCTGTATAATAACAAATCAGTCTAATATTCGAATTAATTATTCATTTTCATGAAACCACTGAATGCTGAGAGGGCATATTCCGCAGTGCCTACCAACAAAATAGGTACCGCTGCGAAACTGTTGCTGCCTTATTCAAATTTCAAATTTGTTTCTTCTTCATATCACATGAAATTAAAAATATGATAAACTCACTATTCGAATGAAAAGATTCAATCGATTAGCAAATGGCACCTATATATCGTGGTATATTTCGATTCGACCAAAGGATGTAGAAGGGAAGTCCATCATTTAATTAAATCGTCACGTCCAGTTTAGACAAAAACTGAATGTCCAGTAAATGTCCCCAAACGGATATCCATTGTACTAGTGGTGAGTGGACATCCAGCGGATTTCCCGAGGGATTTCCATTCAGTGCCTATGTCCATATGGAGGAATCTCGAGACGAAGCATCCATAAAACATAAAATATCCATTTACACAACTGACATTGCTATACAAAACTCAAATAATTAATATTCGATATAGTTCTTTATACCTACGAAGACAACTTCCGTTGAGGTGATGCTCCACCCTGTAAATACCCACCCTATTCCTACCTTCGATTCATTATCTGTCATTGGTCAAGCGTCAAGCGATTGACGTTTAAATACAGATGCAGTTCGATTGACGTAAAAATACGGATGCAAGGATATTATTTCATAGTATGAAAAATACTCACTGTGTGCAACAATAATGCCAGAATATATCGGTTGCTCCCGGTACAAATGCCCCCGTAGAATGAAATCAGGCGTCGCCTTCACCCAAACTTTCAATTTATCCCCACACCGCACTATCCGCAGAACAGAAATAGACTTCTCATTACATTACCCTACGTACCTACTACGGCAACGACGATGACGTTATGCGTCTCTTTACTTTGACAACTCTTTTCAGAAATCCATCGAAAAAATCGATGAAGCCGATCATCTACGGCCTCCTCAGATAGTAAATTCGAAATTATGAAGGTATCCTGAAGTGTAGTGTTTGTTGCAGATAGAAATGGAACCGGGAACAGTGAAAATTGCCGAAGACAGCGACTTCGATATGCTGAAAAGGCTTGTAGACGATCACACCGATTGGAAACTGGATTACGATAAAGGAGACGAGACAAAGGTGCCGATTTCTTTTATTATTCGCGTTTTTTATAGTTCGAAAATGCGTGTTTGCTGGGAATAATCATTATCAATACTTCGTCCAGCTTGTAGAGTTGTAGACGCTGGCACTGTTTGGTTTGACAGAGCATGACGTGGGCAACAGCTGATAAGCTCTTGATCGCGACAGCTTGAAAGGTAACTCTCATCACGATAGGGGAGAGCGGGGTAACATAACGCACCTAAGAAAAATTTTAATTCTGAGGTTGATGAGTTCGATCTCAAGTTTCAATCAACTGTACAAGGTCTTCAACGTTGATTGAGATCCACGTGACGATGGCATCTCTTCAGCATGGATTGGATAATATCGTTTTACATAGGGACCCGCTGTCAAATCATATTTTTCTCAATCTCCAATGTTCTGCTATTCCAAGAAGACATTTTGTTGTTGAAAGGCGTAGGAATTTCCAAGTTCTACTATGAATTTCGTTTCTAAATGCTCGATTCAAACATAACAGAATTCTGATCTTATGTTTGCATCAAACATAACAGAATTTTGAAGCGAAGATTATCATTTCCTGAAGAAAATCATATTTTTGTCGATAATTAGTGAAAATTAGTAATCGAAAGTTAGTAGCATGATGAAACTACTGGTATGATGTAGTTTTATCGAATTTACAATTTTTTTAATATTACAGAAATTTCGAAAATTTTAAAAAAATATCGAAATCTGAAAAATGTAATAGAAAGATAAAATCCGAGTCACATATGTAAAATTCAAATAGAAACAACTTTTTCAAGTAAACTTTTTCGATATTCGAACAAATAAACCTACTTTCAGCGATCACGTTTGAGTAGGCCATTTTTCATCTTTTTCAAGCAAAACTCAACGTCCAACTCGAATTTCAAAATAAGTCATTAATAAAAGTTTTTCCCATATGATGCCGACTTTATGAATGACACTGTATATGTCATAGGCAACTTTGATTAAATGCTGAATAAGTGAAAAATTAGCAAACTAAATATATTTGTGAACAGGAGATAAAGATCGTTCCCTATAGGGTTGACAATATAGATGGTGTTCCATTTGAACATATAACTGATTTGGGCTCTTTTTTTTTCTATTTTACGGTTCGTATTTGTTTATTGAAGGAGAGCCAAAAGATAGTACCTACAGATGTATAGGTAAAGTCAAGTCAAAATATTACCTAGTTACCTACTCCATATGCGAGTTACCTTCATCAGATAGGCACATGAAGATACTTTAATTCGCTTTAATCAATACAGGACTGAATGTGCGAGAGAGATAGGGAACTACGAGGGAACTATAAAATCTACAGCATTTGATTGTGGTTTTGTGACGTAAAATACAAGACAGATAGAGACCGGAAACATTAATTTATGACGTTAGTACTATGTCGCGCTTTTACCGCCAATGTATCACTAGTGTCAACCTATTCAGCAGGAGGAAAAATTCGGGAAAAAATTGTACATTGATTGTAACAAGATCGAAAAGTATTGAATAATCATGAACTAAGTAGTATCAACATGTTCATCGAATATTGAATCACAATGAACAATGATCTAGGCACAAATGAAAATATCAGATTGAAAAGTTGATAGGTGTAGATACACCTAAATACCGAGCTAAATATACCATATAATCACTTTACTTTGACGCACAGAATTTTGCTACAAAATACAATGAACAATATACAATATCGATTTTCACCACGCACCAATAACTTTTAGTGGAAATGATTAACACTAATAAGAATGACTACAAAATATATTTTGTTACCTTCTTTTTGTTTTGCTGTGATATAGGTTTGGACAAAAACGACTCCCAATTGCCACTTCAAAATGGTCAAGATTCAGTCGGTCTTCCAAAACATAAAGGCCAGCACATTATTCGACGTGTTACATGACCCGGGATATCGCAAAGAATGGGACGGATATATGAAGGAATCCATAGAAATTGGATATTTGAACCCCAACAACGATATCGGATACTACGCATGTAAGCATCAATTTTTTTTTTCTACAAGCGTGCGTGATTCACCCTATACCCGCACGCAATTTAGTTTGGGAAGTGTCATTTTCCCACACTAGTGCGGGAATGGGAATTTTCCTAACAAGTGTGGAAAGTGATTTTTTCCCGCACGCGACTGCCGTTGACACGAACGACGCGAAGCGGAGTTCGGGCAAGCAGTCGAGTGCGCGAAAGACACCAAAGAAACCAAGAATAGTTTGATAGCACTGAAAGGGATGATGGCGAAAGTATATTCATGTATTCTTTGTTACCCAACAAAAATCTGAATAGCAAATTATTGGCAAATTTTCTGAATAACGAAACTCACCAAATTGGTACGTCACACCGACGTGATTTTTAGACGTCATATATACGTCACTGCAACGTCATAAAAATGACGTTTCCAATTGGTGCACCCATGTATATGTATACATATATAGCTTGATTGCTTTCCGAGATAAACAGGGTGTCAGAGTTTTGAAAAAAGTGTTTTCCTACTTTTTGTGTATACCGGGTGGCTACGGAAGTATCGCCTACGGAATATCTCAGTTATTGTATGAAGTAGGTTTGTGAAATTTGGAGCGTCCGTATAATGACATAAGAGCTAGAATTTGAGCATATTGACATGTCGAAGTTAACTTCCGGTCTGATCGGAAGTAACATCAACTTTCTTATTTTAAATGGAAACCCTATTTCTTTCTTTCCGCTTTATTCATCATTCAATTCCTTTTCTAATGACATATCACAAGTTGGTATCTAACCAGAAACTAGATCAGAAAATAAATATTATTGAAATTCACCGAGTAGGCCGTGGAAGCAAAATGAAAGCCAAAAATTTAAAAGTTGGCTATGGAAACCATACGTCACTTGATAACAGTTGATACTACTGTGATATTTTATTTTCATTCGTCGGTGTTATAAAAAGCCGCCAAAAAAAATATTGGAAAAATTGGGAGAAAAACAATACTCTGTAGGTCCATAACTCAAATAGGAACATACAACTTTTTCTTGCCTGTACTATTCAGCATAACCATTCCTTTCTAATGATGTGATAGAAAGTAATTTTTAGGCTTTCATTTTGCTTCCACGGCCTATACTCGGTGAATTTCAATTCAATTTCAATTTTTTTCTGATCTAGTTTCTGGTTAGATACCAACTTGTTATATGTCATTAGAAAGGGAATTGAATGCTGAATAAATCGAGAAGAAAAAAAAATAGGGTTTTTATCTAAAATAAGAAAGTTGATGTTACTTCCGGTCAGACCGGAAGTTAACTTCGACATGTCAATATGCTCAAATTCTAGCTCTTATGTCATTATATCGACGCTCCCAATTTCACAAACCTACTTCATACAATAACTGAGATATTCCGTAGGCAATACTTCCGTAGCCACCCTATATAATCCCAATAAAACTTGCATGTTGACTTGGTTCAATGAGTTATACTTCTATTAACGACAGTAGCATATATATAAAATTACCAAGACTTACATATGTTTCTATATATGTGTGTGAAATTCATGAAAAAACGAGTTTCTCTGAAAACTTTTCGCCACTGGAAATGCCCATCGTGTATGTATAGGTACGTCACAAACATAACGGTTTCACATGATAATGTAAAAGTATACATGGCTTAGAGATGGTCTGCGAAAAATGAACGTCGACAGGACGTCCCTGCAACGTCATGAAACTGGTCTTATTATACCTGTTAAGTGACGTTCTCTCGACGTCGAGACGATGACGTGATTATCACGTCTTAGAAAGTACGTCAAAGGGACGTCATAAATTGGTGTTTGACGTCTTTGACGGAAAATCACCAATCGAAGAGTGAAAGTAACAAAGGTGCTAAGTGCCAAAAATAAAGTTTCGAGATATTTAAGAAAAAAGTAATAAAAACGTCAATATTCGTTTTTTCTCGTTTATCAGCATCAAAAATCGTATAAAAGGTAAACGGAAAACCAATTCTGACTTACACCGATATCTGTTATGAAACACAGCTGAAAATAAAAATTATTTCTTGAAAAAAAATTGAAACGAGGTAAGTGCCACATTTTTTTTAACGAAATAGGATCAGGAAGTATTGCTGATATAATTTGGAGTTTTTCAAATTGGAAAATAAGGATATAGGCATAGTCAAACTGACATTGATCTCAATAATAACAAAAATGACAAAAGAACGAGGTGTCTAATAATTCGACAATACAGCAATTCACTCTGGTACTTGCCCCCTTTGATGGCAAATAACCATTGTCGCTTACCGCTGGCTCCATCTAATTGTTGTTGTTGAAAGGATAATATTACTCATGGCACTTACAGCTTTTGTCATCTCTGTGTCAGATCATAAAGCATGTCGTTCAACACCATTCTATGGCAATATCTATTCATGAAATTATGGCACTTAGCACCTTTGTTACTTCCACTCTCCAATTAGGGACGTCACAGTGACGTGATAGAGATGTATAGTAATTTAACTGGTAGGCTCACTCTTCAATTGTTTCGTCAGACTAACTCTCGATATGGAACAATTGCAAGCGAGTTTTGGACGTGGGGTCCAGGTATTTGCGATAGAGGCGCTATAATCGGAAAATCGTTCAAAACCTTGGTTCTGTGAGGGATGAATCTATTTCCATCATTGTTCTGTGGTCGAATAAATACTGTGCTCAACATTTTCATTCAAATTGCAATTTGAAATGGAAGCAAGAAATCTTTTTTGTAGCCGATTTTAATAGATTTGCTGAATTTCACCAATATCGAAAATCATAAAAGGCAGATATGGTAACTGGTACTGACCTTAGAATTTATTCACACCAGTTCACGCTAATATTTCAAATCACTGAAATAATACTGTTGTAGAACAGAGATTTTCTTTTTTCTATGGTGGATTAGGTATTATACACAAAATTTAGAAACTACGAAACACGTCCCTAACGAACACTTGACCCCAATCTCAGAAATAACCATTTTTTCAGCTCAAGAATATTTTTGACATATTGACGTTTCGATCCTTTGATCAGGAATCAGTTCACTGCTCTGATTCAAATCATATACGTATCCAAATATTCATTGGTCGGTAATATGTTTTCTGTAAATATGGATTGTAACCAGGATGAGCTTAGCGAAATTTACCCACGTCAAGTATGTTTATCAAAGGTTTATCAGAGTAGGCGCCATCGAGAAACTTGCAAACGACCTTCAATAGGGAGAAAGCGCACCAGTTAAAATTCTATACATCTCTGACGTGATCATTCGTCATCTGGATTTCGGAGATTACTAACTTTGAAACAAAAAATTCAGCTGTTTCGATACGCAATTGAGTGTCATAATGACTTCATTGAAGACGGAAAATAGAAAATCCATTGAATCCAATTCAATTCTTTTACAGTATCCTGTCCGACGCCAGTCAAAAACAGAGACTTCGTCTTGCAACGATCCTGGCTGGATATGGGCGACGAAAAACTCATCCTAAATCATTCCGTCAACCACAAGGACTACGCCATCAGGAAGGGCCACATAAGGGCGGTGTCTCATCTCACCGGCTTCGTCGTTAGGGCTAAGGCAGAAGGGTTAGTTCTACAGCGATACACCAATAAACTTGCACCTTATTCTTGCAGAAAGCAAGCCACAAAGACAACACAGGCTGTCAACAAATAAGTGTCGCAACGGAAATATGTATTTCCAGGCTTCCGTTTCAAAGGTACAGGGCGACAACAATTAAAGGACCCCGCACTTTTAGTACGTAAAATGGTTCTCGGTGAAATTTTTTGAATTTTCAGTATGTTGTAGAATTCGATGAACTGATTGAACCTGCAGAATCGTAAAGTTCTTTGATGAACAGATTCTGATATACAGGGCGTTGAAAGGTACAAATCGGTATTTTTCATTTAATTATTTTCTCGAAATTCAAAGATGCCAAGTACAATTTTCTTCGCTCATATCATTAACGAACCTCCATATTACTCAACATAATTCAGATGGTTCAGATGATGTAATTGTTTACAGAGTGAAACATATAAACATTTCAGTGATGTCTGAAAATTCGATGAAATAATGAAATATCGAAAAAATAATTTAGGCATGCAATATACTATTCTCATTCCATCATAAATCACAATTCATACATTTCATACAGGGTGATTTGAAAAATTGGTGACACCTAAGACCGATTTATTCATACACATCCTGTATATTCGAGTGAATTGTCAACCTCCCAAGATAGCTGATACCGTATGAACATGATTTTGTTGAGATATATATAGGGTGATCATGAAGATTTTCGATGATGAAAATGACAAAAAATCGTGTTTTTTGAAATCACCCTGTTATTGATGATTACGTCGGTGAAATTCCCTAATTATTTTTCAATATATTCATCATTCGCTCCTCAACGCAGTCTTAAAAATTCAGTTTACTATCAAGACTGGTGTCATAGTTATCAATTCAGGAACTTACCATTTGCATGAAGAGTTGAAGAGACTTGTTCACTTACAGTTCCTGAATTGATAACTATGACACCCGTCATGATAGGGAACTGAATTTTCAAGACAGCGTTGAGGAGCAAATGATGAATATATTAAAAAATAATTAGGGAATTTCACCGAGTTAATCATGAATAACAGGGTGATTTCAAAAAACACGATTTTTTGTCATTTTCATCATCTAAATCATCATGATCACCCTATATATATCTCAACGAAATCATGTTCATACGGTATCAGCTATCTTGGGAGGTTAACAATTCACTCGAATATACAGGATGTGTATGAATAAATCGGTCTTAGAGGTGTCACCAATTTTTCAAATCTGTATGAAATGTATGAATTGTGATTCATGATGGAATGAGAATAGTATATTGCATGCCTAAATTATTTTTTCCATATTTCATTATTACATCGAATTTTCAGACATCACTGAAATGTTTATATGTTTCACTCTGTAAACAATTTCATAATCTGAACCATCTGAATCATGTTGAGTAATATGGAGGTTCGTTAATGATATGAGCGAAAAAAATTGAACTTGGCATCTTTGAATTTCGAGAAAATAATTAAATGAAAAATACCGATTTGTAACTTCAACGCCCTGTATCTCAGAATCTGTTCATCAAAGATCTTCACGATTCTGCAGGTTCAATCAGTTCATCGAATTCTACAACATACTGAAAATTCAAAAAATTTCACCGAGAACCATTTTACGTACTAAAAGTGCGGGGTCCTTTGTTCAATCACACTCAATTAAACACACTTTACAACACTTAATGAATTAAAAAATTCGAAAAGCAGCACTCAACAACCTGACATTCAATTGAAAATTCTATTTTAACGTCAGACGATTTTTAGAGATACGAGAGCTTTGTAGGTTTTTTATTCATAAAAAGCCATTTTTCTCGAGAACTGATCACTTTAGAGCATTGAAGCAAGAATAATGTGCGCTTGAGAATGTGCTTTGAAAATCACAATTTCTTCAGTGGCATATAAGAGTTTGGGGGGTTGAACCCTTACGCGGCGTTAAACTCTCCGCTACTCTGACATGTCCAAGAAAATTGATCAAGCCTTGAAAGTAGTAATTATTAATGATGAAGTGTGGGTGCAAACGTGAAGCTCCGTTATTCAAAAGGTCTCTGAGATAAGAGCAAACAACTGATTCATTTTTTGAAAACGGAAGCCCCCAGTAAAATTTCGAAAAATAAAAAATGACTCTTTATTCATGAGGCATCTACAGTTTTTCGTTGCGACACATATTTGTTAACACCCTGTATAGTATACCGATCAAATACAGTGTCCATCTGAAGTGCTAATTCCTCCTTACTAATTTTTCAACCACATAGTATACAGGGTGTTTCATATTCGATCCTTACCATTGGGATCTCGAAAACTAAAAGAGATACGAAGATGGTTGAATAGGGGCAGAGTTGCGCATTGACCCAACTAACAATATGCCGTTTAGAATGTTTATAAATTCCAAGTGTGTCCGGAGATATGCGGGAAAAACCGAAATTTTGGAAAATTTTATTTTATTTTTTTGTTTACTTCATTCATTGTAGGATTTCGAAATGAATCGCACTCCTGCATTGCCATTTTTTCTCTATAACGTGCGTTCAGATTTGCTTTCCGACGTTTCGTCTCCGGACCACCAGCATCAACTTTACTTTTCCCAATGAGTGCCATATTGGATTTTTTTGTTTTGAATAGAACCTGTTATTTTATCTGCAATGTTGTATCACAAGTTGGCGTTCTATCTAGAAAATTCGGAGATTGAAAAGACAAAAACATCATCATAGTAGACTTTGAGTTTGATGTTTCACTTACAGTCTGTCACACTCAATGACATTCGGTTATTTTGTATATCACTGTATTTTTGGCAGAAATGGCTTAATAAAGGCATTTTTGACAGAGGTGACAAATATCACATTATGCTTCTACCGTTTGATACCTCCATCTTTTTTCTACAAATAAGGTATACTTCATTTTAATCGATATTTCATTGTACCAATCTAGAGAAAATCGCGCTTTATAAACATACATCCCAACCGTTTCAAAGGCAATACATATTCTATTCACCTATGGCATAGTTGCCGCATCTGTTCAAATGCCATTGGGATATTTAAAAATATAAGTTGTTCAATGATTTATAATCAATTATGTATTAGAAATATTCCTCATTATCAAAATGAAAAATCGATTGTCTCAAAATGTTTCCACATGGAATGTGGGTTATTGATTATAATACATTTGTGTTAATGATAATAATTATATTACTTCACACTAGAGGACAACTGAACCGGTCAACGTGACAACATGGCGTACGAATTGTGGGCGGTGCTATATCAGTTCTCAGCATTCAGCACAATGTTGCCAAGTCTTCAACATCAACATGATATGTTGTTGTGGAGTATACGAAATATTTGAACATGCTGGTTGCTCTAAAAAGTCAAGAACGAACTATAATATCATAGCTTCCTCCTATTATGTTTTATCTCGTGTTTTATTTAATGACAGAACTCTTAATATATTCGTGATAACTTGATTATAATTGTTGATTTGACTACCTTGCTTCATTAGTGAGAATGGAAGAGAAGATTATCTGACCAATAAGGAAACAGCATAAAAACTGACGTCTCCATTTATTCGACGTATCGCCAAATAGCGGTCATGGCGGTACGTTTGAAATGAGCTCTGAAATTCAAAAATTTGGAACAACGCAAGCGTGAGAAGTGTTGCAAAAATTAATTTAGGTCCCTAACGATACAGTGGAGTGATTAAATGATAATAATTCATTATCAGTCCACTCGCTCATTATTCATACCAGAACTTGTTTCTGAATGCTTTCACATTTTCAATATATGAATAAATATAAATCTGGGACTACACGGTGAGAATTTTTGAGTTGATTTCAACTTCAGGTCCACGAAACTTTGTGTTAATCCAGGTCCACACCGAATTGTGTAACCATTTCATTGCTACCCTTTGAATTAGACTGACACAAAATGGCTCAAAAGTATGACATTCATCAAAATTTGAGTTCTTGATGACACTAAATGTGCATTTTTATTTTGACGAAAAGCTTCACTCAATTAATCATTCCAGAATTACGTCATTTGACAGGTTGCTGAGGGGCAAACATTATATTTTGTCAAGATTTGTCATATGAAACCAGAATTAGTGGGATCGTTTTCCTTGGAATCCGAGTTGGAACCAGAAAGAATTTCATAATTTTGTTTGGTGAAACTGTTATTGAATTATGGATGTGTCAGGGACGGCTAGAGCAATGCTCAACAAAGGTAACCTAACAGATAGTTCGTGTGCCCCTCAAGAAACCATGTCAAAATCACGTGTTCTAGAATGATCAATAGGATTGTTTACCGTGTAGGTGCTTCCTGGGGTACGTCTCGCAAACGGACCCCAGGGGCAAACTGCCCATCTGGCTGGTCAACAAGATCACGCAGAAGTTCGCCCCCAAGGTCGTCAAGCAGCTGAGGAAGGCCGCCGAAGGGTACGAAACGTGGAAGTCGGCGCAAGGCGACCCCTCTTACAAGCCTTGGGTGTATCCTGAACAAACGCTTTCTGTACCTAGAGTCAGTCTATCCGATGTGAGTATTGATAGGTAATGCTGATTATTCTATTCCACTCATTGAATAATGCACTTTTTTCGTCGAGCTCTACAAAAAATCACATTTCACGGTCTTATTTCCGGAAGAAAAACCGACTCTTTCCGAAGGCAAGTACTTTTCGTCCGTAGACAATAACTTTTCGTCCTCAAACACTTTTCGTCCGCTGCAGGGTTGCCAGTTCTACTGAATTTTCAGTACCCTAATAGCACAACTAAATGCATTGAACATCTAATGGATATCCTCAACCGGACATCCTGGACATCCATAGGATAACCACTTTGTGTACACAGGACAACCTATGGATGTCCACTGGATATCAGCTGTCCACATTTTAGGACATATATGCATTATCCAGGATGAACACTATTCGGAATCCATGATGGACATCCATTCGGTGTCCATTATTGACACCCATAATAATATGGTGTCTATACCGGGTTACACAGGGTATCGGGCCACCCCTGTAAGTTCTGCTATATCTTCATCGGATTTTTGTGAAATTCGGTACAGTTAAATAAGCAACTATTTCGGATTTGATCACATTACAATCCAATATGGCGGACTTCCGGTATTTCTGAAAATGCCAGCAACTTTGTTTTTTCAAATGAAACACCCTGTATATTTTTACATATTCAAGTTCAACAGGTCAAAACAAGTGCAATCTTTATTTCAAATGTCATTTTTTCGAAAAAAATTTAAATTAAAATTGTTTTTTCATTTTACCTCGTGGATAAATGAGATGTGGTCAAGACTATTGACAATGAGTCACACATAACAGAAGAACATAATTTTTTCTGAAAAATTATTTTTTGTGTCACTCATCCAGGAATCAATTCAGCCACATCACTTTTTGATGAAAAATTATTTTTTTTTCAAATGGAACCCCTATGGGCCACCTACCCGTCTCTCTAGAACATACATGAAGAACAAAATGACATATCATATCTGTTTTTCGGTGCAGTAACAAATTGTATACATTCAAAAATCAACAACTAGTTTATGATTTTCTTGCAGTTAGAATAATTTTTCAACTAGGTAGGCTGTGGAATAAATGACATTTGACATCAAGATTGCACTTGTTTTGACCTGTTGAACTTGGATATGTAAAAATATACAGGGTGTTCCATTTGAAAAATCAAAATTGCTGGCATTTCCAGAAAAACCGGAATTCCGCCATATTGGATTGTAATGTGATCAAATCCGAAATAGTTGCTTATATAACTGTACCGAATTTCAGAAAAATCCGTTGACGAATGCAGAAGTTACAGGGGTGGCCCGATAACCTGTGTCACCCGGTATATTGGACATGTACGTATTCAAAAGACAGGTTGTTGCATTTTCTTATTATTTCAAACATAGTTCATAGGTGGAACCTAAATCATATATGATAAAAAATATAGATAGCACCTAGGTACAGGGTGATTCACCATAATTGTCCCCCCATCTAGCTCGGTTATTTTTAAACCGATTTCAAAATTTGAAATATCATCTTGAATGATTTTCGATAAAGTTTTTTTCCGCTACATCAGGAAATACAGGGTGCTCGGAACAAACGGTCTACAGGGTACTATTTGATTTTTTTATATGGAACACCCTATTTTTCATTGTATTTTCAGATTCTCCCTGAAGAGCTGATTTGGTCGATGGGGACTTGGGGTCTAGCGGAAATGATTACAGAGATATAGGGTGTTAAAAATCGAGATTTTTCAACTTTAGAATTTTTTTGAGACGAAACTATTCATCATCGGTCAAAACGGCTTTCATGTCCATATCTCAACTTTTGATTTACTATCTACTGACATTTAATAATTGGAACAGATACAGAGGGTGATCAGAATTCGGAATCTTGAACCACCCTGTAAATGTTCCAATTAAATGTCAGTAGATAGTAAATCAGAAGTTGAGATGGGGACATAAAATCCGTTTCGACCAATAATGAATAGTTTCGAGACAAATAAATCCTAAACTTGAAAAATCTCGATTTTGAACTCCCTATATCTCTGTAATCATTCCCGCTAGACCACAAGTGTGATACATCGATGAAATCAGCTCTTCAGGAAGAATCTAAAAATACAATGAAATACAGGGTGTTCCATTTGAAAAAATCAAGTAGTACTCTGTACTACGGGAAAAAAAATTCTGAAAAATCATTTTAGATCATTTTTCAAATTTTCAAATCGGTTCAAAAATAAGTGAGTTAGAGGGGGGGACATTTATGGTGAATCACCCTGTACTTTGGATGATAACAAATTGGAATAGAAGTGGTCCAATGCTCTGGCACAAAGACTGAAATGGATTTTTTTCATTATTTCTGCATCATTTTTGAAAATATTCATTGTATCCTGAATCCGTCTCCATAATTCCTGGTCATTATTTACTGGTCTAAAATACACCCTAAACTCTATAGGTACTGCTTCTCATAAAAAAAATATAGTATATTTTCTCTGCCACCCAATCCCTGATAATAATAAGTAACTAGGAATAGAATAAATGTAGGATCTACTATTCGAAATATCGAATAGTTTCCAGAATAATTCACCATTTCCATATTCCTCGGCAACACCCAACACTGTATACTTCTTTTTTTCAGTGCTTGCCAAATGGGCTATCGATGTCAGCTGTTGGCGATTGTGAAGAATACGATTGACGCTTATGGTGCATCAACCATATAGGACATTTTGGCATTCATAAATATGAAATAAACAACTTTGAATTACAACTCTTTTATGCTATAATCAAATCCAAATTCGTTTCTCGAAAAAAAATTATAAATATATGCGATACACAAGAATTGCACAATAAATACAAATTTTGACGAAGGAGCAGTAGATTTTTATTTCTTCTAGCGTTAGTGGAAATCAACAAGTGTTGATTTCTTCATATTGGTAGTGGTTTACCAGATTTTTGAAAAATAATCCAGATTTTTTTCAACGATTTTAATACACGATACGTAATCGTGATTTTGGCGAAATCTATATCTGTTAATAACTCTAAATTTTACTCATATGACTCATCAAAACTAAATAAAAATCGAAATCAGAAAACAGTTCTGCCCTCTTACGAAAAATATACAACTTATTATATTTATATATTATAATATATTATAATTCGATAGAACTCACCCAAACTAGCTCACCACCGCAAACCGTTTCTTGCTGTGAGCTCCCTACGTTTTATCACATAAAAAATTATTGAAATCCCCGATTTTTCGGACCCCTGAAAACGAGGCGATGATGTGACGTCAAAACCCCGAAACAAGACTATTCCAGACAGAGATGAATGATACATGATTTCTGACAGAGTGAATTAGTGCGAGATCACAGTTGAATGAATTAATATATCAGTTGCCTCAGTCTCCGTCGGGCATTTGGTATTTTCTTCTAACTATGGCGAGATGAGGTTTCTACGTCATAGGAGGGTCCGTTTTCAGAAGGTACTATATTTTTTATGTCCAAAAATAAAACATTCCAGTTAATTTTTCGATCGAATTATGTCGTCAATCATTATTTATGTATAAAAGGATCATTATAAACATGATTTGAGTTAAAAGTTCTGCTAAGGTGTACACGCCCATTGTAGATCTGATTTCCACAAAGGTCTTCATTATAGAACTATTATAGAACTTCATTACATATGTTTTTGTTATTTTCCAATATCAAATTATTAATTTTCAACTCAACAGGACTACTTTCTTGCCTATGGTCACCTCTTGTTAGTGAGTGGACATGATTCTAAAGCCCATTTAAGCTGGTGTTCCTCATGGTGCAGTTTTATCACCGCTGTTGTACAGTTTATATACTAGCGATTTGCCGAGACCAGTGATGTGCAAGATGTCGCTTTTTGCTGATGATACGGAAGTTCTTGCATATTCCACAAATTCCGAGCAAGTAGTTATGAACCTCCAAAGCGCGCTGAATTCTCTTCGGGAGTACTTCCTAAGACGGAAGATCAAATTGAATCCTGCAAAAACACAATTGGTCGCACTCGGAAGGGAGCGGAGGCCTCCCAGAACCAGAATAGTCCTGGATGGTCATGAGTTAGAGTGGTCTTCACAAGTTGAATACTTAGGTATCTGCATTGACAAAATGCTCACCTGGGCCCAGCACATTGAACAGCAAGTTTCAGAAGGTGAACGAGCCATTGGAGCCCTGTATCCATTTCTAAACAGACGAATAGCCTTAGAGCCAGCGTCAAAAAGATTCTCTGAATTTACTAATCCTAGTTTTTTTTACAGTTTATTACAATGGTTTTGTACACAAACATACTGCGGTCAGTCAAGCGAAACTGAGAACAGGTATCCCTGGTATACTGTCGAAGTTGTCGTTCCTACAGCTGACTGTGGGGACGGGAGCTGGTCAGTCAGTCCCAATGTATGCAAAAAATAAATGAATTGCAATTCATTTACAACACCTCAAAATTCTTGTGAGGATATTTATTGCAATATCAATCATGAAAAAAATGGTCAGTCATCGATTCTGCGGGAAAACGTCCGTCAGTAAGCAAAAAAAGAAATACAAATTTCGCGCGCGCGATCGCTGTTGCAGGCGGCGGCTCGCTCTTTTCTTCATGATTATTCAACGAAATCGATTGATTGGGTCATTTATTTATTATAATCCAATAGATAATATTGAACTTTCAGTATATTATACAGTGTGTCTCACTTCTCATGGAAACACCCCACTATTTTCCGTATATTTTGACGTAGAACCATGAAAATTTCAGGAACAATATCTGAAAATGAACTTACTGCACGAAAGAGGTCATTTTAAGTGATATAAACAGCACGTCAGCAGCGATGAAACTACCCATGTTGCTGGAAAATTATATTAGGGGGCAAAATTGACCGGAAATTCCGAATTCGTGTTCAGGATTCCCAAATTTTTATATAAAAAAATCAGCTCTGACAAATTTCAATTCGTCTCCGCTGGCATTGTAATGAACTGTGAAAAAACTAGGCTTAGTGAATTCAGAGAATCTTTTTGGCTCTGGCTCTCCGTCTAGAAGTCCATTGGGTTTGAGACAAAAATTGAATATTTACATCATGGCTATCAGGCCAATTTTACTGTACGCCTCGGTAGTCTGGGGCCACACAGCTCAATCTCATATCACCAGATTACAAACATTACAAAACAAAATCGCGAGAATGGTGACAGGATCTCCTTGGTATGTTCGGAATAACCAGATCGCCAGGGATCTGAAATTCCCTTCAATCGTATCAGTCATTAGTGAACGAAACATCAAGACTTTCGAAAAAGCGGAGGTTCATGAGAATCAGCTCGAAATGCAGTTGATTATGATTTATGACCCAGGTGATCAATCAAAGTTCAAAAGACCGAGATTGCCCATAAACTACAGAAAATATTAACATTATGACCGAATTTACTCTCCTCAGGTTTTTGATATTTATTTGTTCCGTTCGATCTTTTGGTCTGAATCAAATGAAAGAAAGATCCAATAATAATAATGTTTTTAAGAAAAAACTTTGATGAAACAAACTCTCATATGATTGTGTAGGTATTCCCTTTGCATTTACTATTAAACTGAGTTTTTGCTCCTTGTTTGGGTATTTCGGTAATGTATTGATGACTTTATTTTTCTCTCTCCATGTCCAATGATTGTGGGGATGACTAGCAGTTCCATACTACTTCAGTGTTGAATAAGGTGAATCGATAATCTTGTTCGTTCGATAAAATATTGATAAATAATTATTTCAAATATTTTTGAGCACCCTTATTTTATTCTTCATTATTTTTATTCATTAGCTGCGGTACAAAATCACCTTCTCATCTTTCATAATTCTTCATTTGAACTAGATTTTTCTGAGGTAATTGAGTGTGAAACGAAGTTGTCTTACTGTCGTGAATTCGAGCTAACAATTAGAATTGTCCCGCATACTTGAACGTTTGGATTGTTGTAAACTATTTAGACCATTTCTAATGACTTATGGCACACAAATATCAAATTCAAATAAGTATTATGCAGTCTAATAATTGTTCATATGTGTTCAGTGAGTGAGGATTGTCAGAAATTGTTGCTGGATATGAAACATTATCACTCGTCATCCGATTTTGGATTGTACAAAGATGTACAAAAAAGTAACCGAATCATTTTTTGGTTGAAGTGCATATTGGTTCTCATAGGATCATCTGCTGTGTTGATTGTTGTGAGTATACCTACCTATATATAATACCGGATATACAGGGTATATCTAAATAACGCCGAAAGAATTCAAGGGGTGATTCCTTGTGATATCCTAGCAAATTAAGTTCATTTAAGCATGTGTTCTAACTTGCTCTGTTTTTGAGATACAGGATGTTGAGGTTGGGAGTATCAATTGTTTTCATTTGTAACCCTGTATATGCTTTCATGGTGCTGAAATTCAGTATGGTTGGAGACTGAGAAAGCCCCAAGATTTCAAAATAATTGTAATTGGGGTTATTGATAGTAATCTCAATGGATGTCTTGAAAACACCAACATCAAATTTGGAGTCAATTCGAATTTTTATTGTTTCCTTAAAAACTGCGAGCTAGATACAAAAATCAATCAGACGATAAAACAGTTGTTTATTTCAAAAGTTCAATCTAATAAAATATGGTTGCGTACAATGACATTCACCATAACTATATCGATAAATTCACCCACTGTGACGCCACTGGAAATATCATTTCCAATATATTTGCACCAGAAGAAGCTCCATATTACTGCTATAAACAAAACCACAGCGTTTCATAGAAATTGATGGAAAGACAATTCAGTAATTGATCAAAAAAGATTTTTCACGGAAATATTGATACCCTGTATCTCGAAAATGTAACAAGTTAGGACACATGTTCATGTAAACTTTATTCCATGAAATATCAAAAGGAATCACCCCTTGAATGTTTTTGGTGTCATTTTGATACTCCCTGTATACCCTTAGACATTGTACCTATCTGATTTAGCATAAATGAGTCAAATTTGTTCTCAGAAGAATCCGATATATACACTTTATCGAGTAGTAATCATTTCCGAAAAATAATTTGGCCAATGAAAACACGTATGTACTTTTCATTATGAAACGAATTTTAAGCCTTTATATAGGAACACGCACCTACTTTCCAATTTTGGTGAAATTTCGACCAAAGGATTGTCATCCTGAATTTTAGTTTAGAAGAAAAGCTGATGACTTGATCATTATACAACAAAAACCAAGTTATTATACCTCACGCTTAAACGCCCTCTGTGGCAATAGTTAGTGACTAAACTCAGCTTCATCATGTTTTGGATTGAAGTGTAATCCCTTCTCAACAAAATAGTTTTTTATTCAAGTCGATATTCTCTTTCCAAGAATGAACAAGTGTTTCATGGAAGTGTGGATTATTCAAATCTGCAGAACCTACATGAACTCATCGATTAACAACTCGAAAAAACATCTAAACATTGTTTATCACTCATTGCCACCTAATTTTTTCAGCAGTTACCAGCAAAGATAAACCTTAATTAGTTAATTGAAACAAAAAGAAGACCTAGATGTGGTCAATAACGAGTATGCGCCCTATTCGAGCTTGAATTCTCAACCGCCGTGGCATCGAGATGATCAAATTCCTCAAGCAGTCTTGGGGAAACGTCTCAAACTCTCCATTTAGGGCAAATTGCACCTCATGAAGAGTCTCTGACAAGGCCGAATGGAGACAAATGCGCCTCTGGAGTTTATCCCAAACCAGTACAGGTTCTGATGAATTATTGTTGGAGAAATTGAAGAATTCCATACTTCCTCAAAACCAAGTGAATAATTACGTGAGACGATGTTCTATAGGTTCTGAATTATTTTTATCACCTCTT